GGGGGGGGGGGGGGGGGGGAGCTGAGTGGCTGTGGCTGTGTGGTTGGCGGCGGGCGTCGGGCGGCGGTCGACGGGCGGCGGTCGACGGGCGACGGGCGGCAGGCGGCTGGCCGAGCTCGGGATTTAAGAGTGGCGCAGGTCCAGGTCCAGGGCTAGACTAGGCAGGGCTAGGCTAGGCGGTGGTGGTAAAGACGGCGATGGCGGCGGCGGCGGCAGCAGTAATGACCGAGGCAGCGCGGGCGGCGATGAGGGCGGTCGAGGCTTGCGGGGCGCAGGAGCGGCGGGAGCGGCGGGAGCGGCGAGAGAGCGGCGACTTGTGCCATGTGGTAGTGGTGGTGGACGACTCAGCCGAGTGGGAGAAGGTCTCGCGGGTGTGGATGAGCTCGCCGGCGACGTAGACGGCGGCGTGGTTGCGATCGTCACCGAGGATGAGGTACTTTTCAAAGAGCGCGTGGAGCGAGGTGTCGGTGGCAAAGACGTCAAAGGGCGAGTCTGGAGCGAGAGCGTCAACGACGACGGCGTCAAACTGCTTGCCGACGGCAAACGATCCGACCGAGTGGTGCATGTCGAGGACGCGGGCGCCGCCCATGGTGGCCATGTAGAAGACGTTATGGATGGAGAGGGCGTCCGAGTTGGGCTTGCGGTTGGCCTGGTGCTGCGGCATGGTGAGGATCTTGGAGGCGACGAGGGCGAGGCGCATGGCATCGAGGATGGAAATGGCCGGGCCGCCGGCGACGTCGGTGCCGAGGCCGACATCGATGTCGTACTGGACGAGGTCGAGAACGTTGAGGATGCCCGAGGTGAGGCCAAAGTTGGAGGCCGGGCAGTGTGAGACGCCGGTGCGGGCGCGGGCAAAGAGCGACATCTCATCGGGCGTGAGGTGAATGCCGTGGGCCATGACGGTCCGCTTGGTGAGCAGGCCAGCGGCGGCGTAGACGTCGGCATACGAGGCAGCGTCGGGGAAGAGGTCGCGGACCCAGGCGATTTCGGCCGGCGACTCGGAGATGTGGCTCTGGATGTGGAGGCCGCCAAAGTCGGTGGCGAGTTGGCCGAGGCCGGCGAGGAGCTCAGCCGAGCACGACGGCGCAAAGCGCGGGGTAATGACCGGACGGACACGCGCGTTGTCGAGAGCGAGTACATCGCGGACAAAGTCCTTGGTGGCGGCAAGCGAGTCCTCTGCGCTCGGCTCGATGTAGTTGTCTGGTGCGTGCGAGTCCATGCAGACCTTGCCGACGAGGCCGCGGAGGCCGACGTCGCGCGAGTAGCGGGCAAGATCAACGGAAGCCGGGGCGTGAAGAGTGCCAAACATGCAAGCCGTGGTGGTGCCTGCAGCCACCATGCGCTTGAGCATGGCCTTGTACACCACAGCAGCAAAGTCGGTGTCGGCAAATCGAGCCTCCATGGGATAGGTGTACGTCTCGAGCCACTGGAGGAGAGGCATGTCCAGACCCAGGCCAGCAAAGGCATACTGCGGAGCATGGACATGGGTATCGATGTAGCCAGGAACAATAAAAGTACCATCGGCCCGATCCTTGCCCGCCAGAGTATCCACCAGTCGTCCATCAAAGTCATCAAGAGTAAAGCCAAACGCAGCCTCCACACCAGACATCTCCTCAGCAGAGGCCATAAACACAATGCTCCCTTTGTTGTCCACGCCCACGTAGCTCGCCTCTAGCACCTCCAACTCGTCAAACGACTTGGAGTGCACAAAGTTGCCATGTACAATCAGTTCCACTCTCGTCATCCTCTGCCACTGTCTGTCTCAAAGTGAGGTGGCCTCACCTCCCGTTGCTTGCCCTGCCCTGCCTTGCCCACCAGCTGGCGAGCCGCCGCCCGGCTGGCAACGCGACTATTGCTGGCGTCGCACTGACGTTGGCGACTTTTGCATTTTTGGGTTGTGGCCTCAAATTGGGGGCATGCGGGTGAGGCGAGATGCGGGCCGATGAGGGCGTTGACCTTGTCAGGGACAAGTGAGATGACTGGGGCAAAGTGAGACGGAGTGATGGGCTTGGGTGAAGGGCCAGGGTGAGGGGTGGGCGGGGTTGGACACGATCGGGTTTGACCTCAACCATGTTCAACTTGGCAAGAGATGGTTGATGGCGAGATGTCGGCAGAGGTATGCCCACAGGCATAACCATTCACAGCCATCATCATGTGAGACTGCGAACTGTGGCATTGCGAATGCTGCCTTGGTGGGCTGTCCAAGACCGTCGCTGGCTCTCCCTCAATAGCGCCCAGCATTCAGCGGCGAGGGTCGGCGGCGGCGAGGCGACGGCGAGGCGGTAGCCGTCGGAGAGACCAACTCAAACAGCGCCGGCGAGCGCCAGGATCATCAGAGGCGCAAGACAACAGATAGTCACATCTTCCATCTCTTATCACGTGCTTGTTCCATTGAACATGTGGCGGATGTGCCGGTTGGGTCGCCCTTCCGGCACCTGCTCCGCCACATGCTGCTCCGCCACATTTACTATGACTATCGGCGCGCCACAACGAGAGCGGGGCGCTCGGCATCTGCAACTACAACCACACACTTTCGCAGTTCCATACCCCCGCCCCACCAATCATGAAGTTTGAGCAGCATTGGGGTGGTGATCGATGCGCAGTGGCGTCGGCGCTTGCGTGCGCGTCTACAGGCGAGGCCGAGGCCGTCAAGCTCGCCGAGAAGTCGGGCGTGTGCCGATGCTCAACATGCGGCAACAAGTTTTACAACGACAACGGGCCCATCAGCCTCACTATCTCGTTCGAGCGCGGCTCCGGCCGCAGCCGCGATGTGCCCGAGCCTATGGCCTTTGACACAACATGGAAGGCACCGTTGGTCTCTGCCATCGTCGCCGCCGCAGAGGCCAGCGGCGTGCCGTCGCACAAGCTCGCACTGCGGACAGCGCGCGCCAGCGGCTTCCGCCGCATCCGCGCCCGCGACACCGCCCTCGGCCTCGCACTCAACACGGATCTCGAGCTTGTCGCCGTCCTCCGCTAGAACGCATGCATTAAAGAAGCGCCCTCAACTCGACACAGAGCTTGCGGAGACTCTCCAGCTCGCGCTTGGAGTCGGCAGCCTCGCGCCGCGCCGTTGCAAGCTCAAACTCCAGCTGCTGTACACGGAGCAGCGACCGCGACGAGAGATCCGCCGCAGAGACTTCGGCCGCTGCCAACGCCTCGCGTGTCGCTGCCGTCTCGCGATCGAGCTTGGCCTGTGCCTCGAGTGCTGCATCGAGCTTAGCCTGCGCCACCGCCGCCGTCGCCGCTGTCGCGGTTGCCCGCGCCTCGGCCGTCGCCGCCGCCGTCCGCGCCTCACCCACCGCCGCTGTCGCCGCCGCCGCCTCGGCTGCCGTCTCGGCGAGCTCACTCTGTAGCCGCTCTACTTCGGCGTTCGACTCGGCGAGCGCGCTCGTCGCCGTCTCGAGCATCCGCTTCAGCTCCGCAAGCGCCGACTCGAGCGCGCCCACCCGCCGCGAGTAGAGCGAGGCTTCGGTCTGTGCCACGCTCAGTGCCGACGACGTGTGCTCCTCGGCCTCGGACAGCTGCACCAGCTGGCCAGTGACCTCGGCGACCAGGCTCTCCCGCTGGCTCGCCGCCGCCTGCATCTGAGCATGCAGTGCCGCCGACTCGCGCTTGGCTCCGTCGCGCTCGCTTGCCATCTGCCGTGCCTCGGCTTCCATACCCTCGACTGCACTTGCAAACGCGTCCTGCGCCGCGCGGAAGGCTGCTGCCAGCGACCGCTTCTCGCTGCGCACAATCTTGAGCTCGCCCTCGAGCTGGGCCACTCGCGTCTCAGCAACTCGGCTCGCTTCGAGAGCTGCCGCCGCATCCGTCCGCGACTCGGTAAGCTGCGCCTCGAGCTTGTCGCGCCCGGCCCGGAGCTCGGCAGCGGCGGCTTCGGCGGCGGCCTGCTTGAGCTCGGCGGCTGTAAGCGCGTTGAGTGTCGAGTGATGGCTTGCCGTCACGCCCTTGAGCTCGGCGCTGGTTGCCGCCGCCTCGGCCCGCGCCGCATCGCGCTCGCGAGCCAGCCGTGCCGCCGTCTCCTTGAGCGCGTCCACCTCTTCGCGCAGCGTACTCAACGCCGCACTGCTCGAGCGGAGCTCAGCACGCGACTCCTCGAGCATAGTGTGAGCACGCTGCAGCGCGTCCTCGAGCGCTGCGCTCCGTCGAGCCTCCTCGGCGATGGCCACATCGCGGGCCTGCCGCGCCGCCGCCGCCTGCTGGGCAGCCTTGCCCGTCTCGGCCTGCATCGCCTCGATCTCGGCACGCCCCGCCGCCGCTACCGCCGCCAAGCGCGCCGCGTCGTCACGAACTGTCGCCAGCTTGTCTGCCAGCGCATCGCGCTCGGCGCGAGCGTCACGAACCTCGCGCGCTAGCGCTGCAGCTCGGGCCTTGGCCTCGGACAGTGCCTCCTCACGCGCCGCCCGGATCTCCGCCACCGACGCCGCCTCGGCTGCCTGCACCTGCACCTTGGCCTGAGCCGCCGCCAGTGCCGCCCCCAGTGCCCGGGCCTCTCCTCCTGCTGCTTCAGCCCGCTTCTGCCACCCATCAGCACTCTTCTGGGCGTCGCAGCCTTTGCGCTCAGCCGCCTCTGCCCGCGCCTTCAGAGCCTCGATCTGCTCGACAAGTGCGCCGTTCTGGGATTGAAGGCCAGCCAAACGAGCTATCTCGCTCTCTGTGTCAGCCAAACGAGACTCTGTAGCACATGCATTGTCCCTGACGCGCTTCAGCTCGAGTATCAGCTCATTCTTGGCTGCCACGGCCTCGTCCCGCTCCTTCCGAACCGTCGCCTCGCTCTCTTTCAAACTCTCGTTGCTTTCGCGCGCGCTGGCCAGCACAGCCCGAAGCTCGTCAGCTGTGGCGTAGACCGCCTCGAGCTCGGCAAACAGCTGCTCGGTGGCGTTCATATATGCCTGGTGTTGGCTGGTGTGGGCAGGAGTGGTGGTGGGTGGGGTGGTGGTGGTGGGCGAGAGCGAGGGGCGAGGGGAGAGGAGGGCAGGGGGTGGGCTGCCTGTCTGTGGCGACGGGCGGGCGATCAGTGGCAGGCAGACGACGGGTTGGGCGGGGGGGGGGGGGGGGAGGGCGATGGATCAGGTGATGAGCGGCGATGATTCAGGCGGGAGAGTAGACAGAGGAAACCGAGTTCATTGAAGGAGCGGGTAGGTGGGCAGGCGGGCAGGCGTGCTCTCACTTGGTCGGTGCAGAACCCGCGTGGAGCCGCCGGCTCGCCGTCGAGGTCATGGCACGGATGGCGTACTTGGTGGCCGCTAGCGAGGAGACCTGACATGCGCCCGAGGCACAGTTCTCGGCTTGGGCCTTCGCCACCTTGGCAGCATGGCGATTTTCGGCCTTGAGCTGGCGGACCTCATCACCCGACACCGCGAGGCTGCGTGTGAGTGAGTGGACGAGTTTGGACTTGGCAATCGACTCTTGCTGGGTCACCACGAGCAGCTGCCGGAGTCGGTCGATTTCGGCGTACGCCGCATGGAGCGACTCCCGCGAGACAAGCTGAGGGGTTTCCTTGACTTTGTCCACTCGCCCATGGGTGTAGACGCGGGCCTTGCGCCGGCGCGCAGCCTGGGCGGCTGCCACCCGTCCGGAGGACGCCACCTCGGCCCGGCTCTCGCCAGCGGACCCACCTCCACTCGCGGCAGAGACACTGATGGAAGGCCCAAAGCCAGCATCGATGCCTGGAGAGGTTTGCTCGCGACGTTTGAGGCTGGCGTCGCTGGCCGAGGCCTCCGACTCGTCGCGGACCCGGACGTAGTTGAAGGGAATCTTGCCGCGGCGACCATCGAGTTCTGCAGTCCACCACGTCGAGACGGTGGAGACAAGCAAGAGGACGTCGCCGCGCTTGAACGAGAGCTGCGACCCATCGCGGCCCTTGAAGTCATACAGCGCCACCGCAGTCGGCCGCGTCGGCGAAGTGCTGCTGTTCGGCTCGTGAGCATCAAACGAGTGCCGCAGCACCCGCCGCTTGCGCTGAGACTCGCGTCCAGACGATGCCGAGCCGACGCCTCTATGCAACTCTTCCTCCACCACGCGCTCTAGCGACGAGTGTGGAACCAGGACGACGTCGCTGGCGTCATCGCCCGAGCCACGGCTTGCACCCAGTGATCGCGGCTCGGACCCTGCACGCACCGAGCCCACCGCCAGGTCCCGCGCTGCCTCCAGCGAGCTCGCCTCATTGCCCTCCAAAGCCCGCACACGCCCCTCCGCCTGTGCCTGTCCCGTCCGGCCCGACGGCGGACCCGACTGGACCCGCCCGCCTGCTCTTGCCTTCATCGTGCTCAGCGAACGAGGAGACTGAGTCGAACGAGATCTCGGTGAGCCCGAGCTCCGCACCGAGTCGTCATCAGCCGCGTCTTGCCGACGAGCGCCTGAAGGAGCAGTGGTGTGAGGCGAAGGCAAGCCCTGTGAGCGCAGCGGCGAGTGTGACCACGAGCCAGCCACCGCCGTCAAAGCAGGACCAGAACCATGACCAAAACAGCCACTAGCACTGCTTCCCCTTCCAGAACGGTGTACTGCGGACGCCCTTGACCTTGACGAAGCAGATGAGCTCGGTGAACTGCCTGCTCTCTTTCGGAGGGACTTGTCGATTTCGGCAAAGTACGACGACGACGTCTTGCGCCCAGACATGGCGGGTGTCGAGAGTAGAGGGAGGGTACGTAGGGAGGGGGAGGGGGAGGGGGGAGATAGTGGGTGGGTGGAAGGTTGTGGGGTGCGGTGCGGTGTGGTGTGGTGTGGTGGAGTGGGTGGGGTGGGGAGGGCGGGAGGGTGGTGGGTGTTGGGTGGGGTCAGGTGGTGGTGGCGAGTGGGGAAAGGTGAACGGATGCGAATGAAGGTGAGCGATGGCTGGGCGATGGCTGGGCGATGGCTGGGCATGGCTGGGCGATGGCTGGGCGATGGCTGGGCGATGGCTGGGCGATGGCTGGGCGATGGCTGGGCGATGGCTGGGCGATGGCTGGGCGATGGCTGGACGATGGCTGGGCGATGGCTGGGCGATGGCTGGGCGATGGCTGGGTGATGGCCGGGCGATGGCTGGGCGATGGCTGGGCGATGGCTGGGCGATGGCTGGGCGATGGCTGGGTGATGGCCGGGCGATGGCTGGGCGATGGCTGGGCGATGGCTGGGCGATGGCTGGGCGATGGCTGGGTGATGGCCGGGCGATGGCTGGGCGATGGCTGGGCGATGGCTGGGCGATGGCTGGGCGATGGCTGGGCGATGGCTGGGCGATGGCTGGGCGATGGCTGGGCGATGGCTGGGCGATGGCTGGGCGTATGTCGCGCTGCACTCCTTGTTGCACCCCCATCCCACCCCCTACCCCTTGATCATCTCGCCACATGACAGCCACACTATACAGCACACAGCACACCAATACTCGCTGGCAATGCCATGCTAAAAAGCAATCGACTTGACAACCGGTAAGGCAGCCAAGCTCGCGCTCCCTCACGCCAGCCACCTCCGCCCCAAAAAAATCATCCTCAACTTGATGCGCCACGGTCCACGTGGGTGGTGGCACGGGTGTCTTCGAGCCTTCCTGCCACCCCCCTCCCCCACCCCCCACCCCCCACCCCCCACCCCCCTCATCTGTTGCCGCCTAACACCCAACGCCACTCCCTCACTCCCTCTCTCTTTCTCCTCCTACCTCCACTCCTCCTCACCCCTCCCCCCACTCCCCCCTTCCCCTCCCTCACCCCGTCTCCTCCCCCCGAGGAGTTCATTCTTTCCCCCTCCCCCCGCCCCTCCCCCCCCTCCCACCCACATCGACCATGACCACCACCACCACCACCACCACCACCACCACCACCACCATCCTCGTCCTCGTCCTCGTCCTCGTTGTCTTGACATCAACATCTCAAGCTCTCTGTCCGCTTGATGTGAATGCTTTGGAAGTGTTTGTAACGGTGACGGGCGACAGTGGCTCCAATGGCACTCGCTCTGCACCCACCACACTTGGTCACGGACTGGAACTGGCTGCGCTGTGTGGTAGTGCCGATGATACGGTCTATGTCTACCTTGCTACCGGTACATACTCGTTTGATACCGCTCTGGCCCTCCCGTCGTATACCTTTGTTCAAGGTGGTTACGAGCCTGCGGCCTGGTCGAGGACAAACAACCCAGACACGACTGTCCTCTTCCGATCATCTCTCAATGTCGATGGCAACGCCTCCTACCCTTACATCGCCGGTCTCATCGCTACGGATGCTTCTCACTTTGAGCTGCATACTTTGCGGCTTCAAGTCGCAGACGCTCCTGCTTCTTCGGCTGCTGGTGTCACCATCTACGGCATCCGTCTCGAGGCCTGCTCTGACTACACCTTTACTCGGGTCCGCGTCGTCACCGGTGCCGCCTCCTCTGGCGCTCCGGGCACCGCAGGCGCCCCTGGCCTGCCCGGTTTGCCCGGTCTCTCCGGCGGCAACGGGACGAAGGAGCTCGAGAACGCACCGGGCCTTGGCGGGACCGGCGGCGCCGGTGCCGGCGTCTACGGCGGGACCGCCGGCGTCAACTCGACCGCCGGCTCGATGCAGCTCGGCACCAACATGACTCAAGACGGCATGGGCGGTGGCGGCGGCGGCTCAGGCGGACCCGCCGGATGGCATGGTGCCGATGGCGGTGCCTCACCTCTCGGCGGACCGGGAGGCGTCGGCGGCACGGCAGGCCCGCCGGGCGGCACAGGCGGTGTCGCCGTCGACGGCGTCTCGGGCGCCGCCGGCGACGAGGGAGGCGTCTCAGCTCAGCTTCCCATCCACGCTGCAGGATTTTACTTTCCCGGCGGCCGCGGCGCAAACGGCACCGCCGGCTACGGCGGCGAGGGCGGTTCTGGCGGCGGTGGCGGCGGCGGCTTCCGCTCCACCAACATCACCGTCTTTGGTGCCGGCTCCGGCGGTGGCGGCGGCGGCGGCGGCGGTCAAGGCGGCTATCCGGGAACAGGTGGCTTCTCCGGCGGCGGCAACTTTGCCGTCTATGTCTTCAACAACGGCGCCAACGGCGTCTTCCGCATGTGCTCGCTCGAGGCCGGTCCTGGTGGCACCGGCGGCGTCGGCGGCCCTGGCGGCGCCGGCGGCGCTGGTGGCGACGGCGGCATTGGTGGCGTCTTCACCGGCGATGCCACCGTCCAGTACGTCACTGTTGCAAACTGCACCCACTGGGAACCAGTCTTTACCTGCGCCAACGGCACCTACGTCCATGACTGTCCCTACGCCTCATGCTGCCCGCGCGATGCCAACCCGCAGCCGGTCTGCGTTGGCGGCACGCCCGAGGCCCTCTGCCACGGCGCAACCTGGGACTACAACGCCACATGCGCCGGCGCGGCTGACTGCTGCCTCGGCAACACCACCGAAGCTTGCTGCTCAAATGGGACCTACGAGCTGGCGTGCACCAACGGCACTTGGTCGACTCCACAAGACGCGTGCTGCTACGGCAACGACACCGCGACCGCCGCATGCTGCACAGGTACCTACGGCCTCAACTGCTCCTCCGGCGCGTTCGAGTACAACGCCACGTGCGCCGGCACTGAAGGCTGCTGCCTCGGCAACGCCACCGCCGCTTGCTGCGCAGGCACTCTCGAGCCGTACTGCTCCACAGGTGTCTTTCTCGATGACTGCGCCGCGCCGCGCCCGTGCTGCTCAGGCAACGCCACCGCCGAATGCTGCAACGGGACATACGCCATCGCCGGCTACACCTGCGCTTCCTGGCTCAACACTACCTTTGTGCCCGAAGAGACCGTTGAAGTGTGCGTCAACAACAACGCCACGGCCTCCTGCTCTGGAAACATCGTGCCTGAACAGTGTGGCGGCCTCTACTTTCTCGGCAGGTGCACCTCGGGCTACGTCCCCTCTTACTGCAACGGCTCCGTCGTCATTACATGCAACGAAGGCGTCGAGTACGTCACCGCAAACTCGACGTTCCTCGACGTCGTCGGCGCTGGCGCCGATGGTGGAGCTGGCGGGGCCGGCGGGACCGGCGGACCCGGCGGCGCTGGTCTGCCTGGCGATGTCGCCAACGTTTACATCGAAGCCTCGGCTGCCGACCCGGTCATCACCGACTTTCTCGACGATGCCACCCCGCTCCTCACCATTGCCCGCGACTGCTTTGTTGGCACCGTCTACCTCTCCCAGTCTAACATCTCGGCCAGCGCCGTCAACACCACAGCGGGCGAGATCCTCTGGTCGGTTCCCGGCGCCGCCGCCACATACTTTGACGATGCCGAGGCGTACCCGGACGCCATTGTCCGGCTCCCGGTCGGTACCGAGGCCGTCTACGACATCAACCTCGGCTCTTTCCATTACCCGAGCGAGCTGGTGGTCGGCCCGCTCGCCACCGCCATTGTCGTCGACGGCGCCTCGTCCTTTGACGGCGCCACGCTCAACACCACCGCTTGCATCACCATGTCGCTCCGCGTGAGCACCAACGTCGCTTCGTCCTCGTATGCCTGGACTGTCACCGGCCCGGCAACAGTCACTTCGGCGCTCACCGGCGCGCCATACGTTGAGTTTGTCGCCGCTGCCCTCGGTCACATCGAAGTCTCGCTCCAAGTCGCTGCCTGCCCCAACTCGGCCGTGCATGGCATTTCTGTCCTCGCGCTCGACGAGTGTGATCCCATCTGCAACGCGCCGGCCTGCTCAATTGAGCACGGCGCATGCGTCGCGCCAAACACCTGCGCCTGCGACATTGGATACGACGGCGCCGACTGCTCCGCCCTCATTGCTGACTACTGTCCGCTGCTAGCCACCCCGGACGGCGGCACCTTTGGTGGAGCCTGCACCACCTCCATCGGCGGCAGCTGCGGCCCATTCCAATGCGATGTCGGCCGCAAACAGATCGGCTTTGCCGTCGACGACTACGTCGTCAACGTCACATGCAAGGCACACAATGCTACCCATGGCAAGTGGTCGCAAGACATTGTCTGCCCCGTCGACGAGTCGTTTTGCCCCTACCTGGCTCCTGCCGAAGGCGGCACCTTTGCCTCCTTCTCGCGCCGCCTCGGCCAGGTCCTCGACATGACTTGCCGTGATGGCTACCACTCGCTCGGCGTCCAGTCCACGGCATGCGTCCAAGGCGCAAGCCGCGCTTTGGGCGTGTGGAGCAATGCCTCGCTAGTCGACTGCACGCCGCGCGACGGATACTGCACGCCGCTGCCTCCGCCGCAATTTGGCAACCTCAACGAGTGCGGCCATCGCGTCGACGACACCTGCGGTGTCTTTTACTGCGACGTCGGCTACGAGCTCGACGGCCCGACCTCGCGTACATGCACTGCTTTCAACGAGACCGTCGGCCTGTGGTCCGGAAACGCCTCACGCTGCACCAACATCGAGTGCGAGCAGCTCGTTGCCCCGGTCAACGGCAGGCTCCTCAGCTGCCCGTCGCGTACCTACCGTGACGTCTGCTCCTACGACTGCGACGACGGCTTCATCCTTGTTGGCGACATCACCCGCACCTGCCTGGCCTCGGGCTCGTGGTCGTCAACGCCGGCCATCTGCGCCATCTCCACCGAGTACTGCCCCGACCTCGAGGCCGACCCCCACGGTACGCTTGGCGCCTGCAACCGCTCCATCGCCGGTCAGTGTGGCGTCTTTGGCTGCAACACCGGGTACTATCTGGTTGGTTCGCCAACGCTCTCGTGTCTCCAAGGCTCGGCCACCGCAGGTAACTGGTCCGCGCCGACTCCGGTTTGTAAGCCGCTCCCCAACTGGTGCCCTGCGCTCGCCGCGCCGGCCAACGGCGACCTCCAGCCGCCGACCGGTTGTGTTCCTGAAGTCGACCGCATCTGTGCGTCGTTCTCCTGCAACTCGGGCTATGACATTATCGGCGCAACGTCGCGAACGTGCCTGGTGACCGGCAACTGGACAGGCAGTCATCCGGTGTGCGTGGCCCAGGACTGTGGGCCGCTCATCCCGCCGGTCGCTGGCTATCTTGTCGACGGCTGCACCAACACCACCTTCCCCAGCGTCTGCCACTACGGCTGCAACCAGTACTACTCGCTTATCGGCGACGCGTCGCGGACTTGCCAGCCTGGCCCAGTCTGGTCGCTCCTGCCGCCAACCTGCCAAGACGTCACCCGCCCGTTCATCGACGCCACCATCCCACTGGCCAACGCTGTGGACGTCGCGGTCGAGTCCAACGTCACCGTCGTCTTTTCTGAGCCTATGAACGCCTCGAGTGTCGAGGCCGCCTTTTCGCTCTCTGCCGGCATCGTGGCTTCGTTCCCGGGTTCTTTCACCTGGATCACCCCGCGGCTTGTCGTGTTTGACCCTGCACAGCCGCTCGCCGAGAAGACCTCGTTTGTTGTCACCGTCTCGACCCACGCCCGCGACGCCACTGGTGGCCTTGCCTTTGCCAACGTCGGCTCGTTTGCTTTCAAGACCATCGACCTCACTCCGCCGCAGGTCTCGTTCACCATCCCTACCCGGGCTAAGCAGGGGGTGCCGGTCGGTGACGACATTGAGATCGCGTTCAACGAGGCCATCGACCCGAGCTCGGTCACTCTCGGCAGCAGCCTCATTGTCGAGGACGAGGCCAGCGTCGGCGTCGGCGGCTATCTCACTTGGTCCGCCGGCAACACCCGCGTGGCCCTCACCCCCACGTCGAACCTCACCTTTGCGCATCGCTACGACATCAGCCTCTTGACCACCATCCGCGACGTTTCAGGCAACTTTATGGCTGCCCCCTTTGCCTCGCACTTTTTCACCGTCGACAACGGACCGCCATCGGTCATCAACATGTCTCCGCCGAACGGTGCACCAGCAGTCTCGCTCGCGGCCTCGATCCTGATCACCTTCTCCGAGCCCATGTCGCTCTCAAAGACCGAGAACGCGGTCTCTGTCAAGCTCGACGGCGTGACTCCGGTCTCCGGCTCGGCCTTTTGGCTCTCGCTCTCGGTCCTCCAGTGGACTCCATCGGGTTTGGTCGCCGACCGCGACTACACCATCACCATCTCAGCTGACGCCCAAGACGAGTCGTCGTACCCTCTCTCGCCGACCTGGGCCTCCTCCTTCCACACCATCGACAACATCCCACCAGTCATGCAGTGGCACCTGCCAGTCGACGACGCCGGCCCGCTCTCCATCTCTTCCACCGTGGTCACGCTCGCCTTTAACGAGCCGATGAACACCACCACGTTCCCGCCCGCCTTCTCGCTCTCCGACGCGGATGCACGTGTCGTTCCGGGCTCCTTTGCCTGGACCGGAAACAACTCGGTCGTTACCTTTACGCCCTCGGCGCTTCTTGCCCAGAAGACTACCCACTATGTTGCTGTCTCGGCAGGCGCCCACGATGTTTCGGGCAACTCGCTCGCGCCGTCGTTCTTCCAGTTTACCACCGAGGACATCGACGGCCCCGTCGTTGTCAGCGTCGCCCCAGCCAACGCTTCTGCAAACGTTGCGGTCACGACTCTGCTCGTCGTCACCTTTGACGAGGCTCTCAACGTGAGCTCCGCGAGCGATGCCGCCACGCTTGCCTGTCGCGATGTGGGGGGTGATGGGCCGTGGACCCCTCTGCCGCACATCGCTGCCTTTTCGCTCGGTGGTGCGCGGTTAGGCATCCGCCCGGCCGCAGGCAGGCCGCTGGTCAACGAGACTCTGTGTCGGCTGGTTTTCGTGCGAGCTGCACTCACCGATGCTATCGGCAACGCCATGGCGCCTGGTCCCGACCTGGTCTTTACATGGGAGACGCAGGACATTACCGCGCCGACCGTGATTTCGATGACTCCAGCCGACGCCGCCATTTCAATCCCGGTCACCGCAAACGTCAGTATTGTCTTCTCGGAGCGCATGGACGTGGCGTCGGCCGACTCGGCGCTGACGGTGGCGCGAATCGACGGTTCATCGTTTGTGCCCATCAGCGGCTCCAGCGCTTGGTCAAGCGATCTCACGCGGCTCACATGGGTGCCAGATGCGCCGCTCTCCGACGACGCCTCTTACCGGACGACGGTGGCGGGCGGGACGGCCAAGGACGTGGTGCTCAACTCGCTCGCTGCCACTGCTGTTGCCACCTTCCGCACGGTCGATCTCACGCCTCCCACCGTTGTCTCGGTCTCGCTGGCCGACGGCACCATTGGTGTGAGTGCCTCCGCGCCCATCAGCATGTTTTCTCCGAGCCGATGAGCACGGCGACAACCGAGGCTGCGTTCAACCTCACGGCCTGGAGCGGTGCCGCAGTGATCGAGGAGCTCGAGCCGGCTTCGGCGTCGGGTACCTTTGTGTGGTCAGACGTCAACCGAGTGCTCACCTACACACCAGGTGGCGACCACGGACTGCGCAATCTAACGCGACACTGCTTGCAAGTGACCGGCGAGGCAACCGACGTGTCGCTCAATCGGCTCCTGGGCTCGCCGCCGGTCGACGTCTGCTTTATCACGCTTGACGTGACCGCGCCACGAGTGACGAGCGTGGCACCGCCAGACACGGCCGAGCTGGTCCATCCCACCACTGCGATCACACTCGCGTTCAACGAAGCGATGGAGACAAGCTCGGTTGCGGCTGCGCTCTTGGTCTCATACCTGCCGTCGGGTGGTGGGCCGCGGGTGACTCTTCCTGGCACGCTCACCTGGGCCTCACTCGCCAACGTATCGGCTACGTTTGTGCCTGCTACTGTACTGCCGAACCTTGAGGTCATTGACATTGCCCTCGATGCGACAACGGCTGTCAACTCGGCGGGCATTCCGCTGGAGACCAACTTTGCGGCGGCGTTCACTACATTGCGCGCAGTGCCGACGCTGGGCGCCGTGGCACCGACCGGCGTCGTCGCCGGCTCGGTGGTGACGGTGACCGGAACCGGCTTTCTAGGCGCAACCTGCGCTGATTTGCATGTCCGTGGCGAGGCGCTTGCCGGGACCGCCACCGTGGTCCGCGGCTCGCCGAACGACGAGATTCGTGGGTGCACAGTGGCACCCGGCCTGGCTGCGGAAGCAGGTCTGGAGCTCACGCTCACGCTCGACTCGCTTGCTGCGCCAGCCAACCTCACGCTCGACGTCTACTCGGATGTGGTGGCGGTGAGCCCGAGCTCCGGCCCGCCTGGTGCTGCCATCATGGTCACCGGCAGCGGCTTTCATAACGTTGCCTCGTGTGCCGCGGTCACCGTTGACGGCGTACCTGCGAGCGGAAGTCCGTCCGTTCTTGTGGGCGGGACTCGCTTGGACGGATGTACCGTGCCGATGAGCCTTGGCGTAGGAACGGTCGGCCGCGTGAGCGTGTCGGCCGGATCGCTGGACGCTGCAGCTCGGGCTGGAGCGGTTGTTCCGAGCTTTACGGTAGTTCCCCAGCTGGTGAGCATGTCGCCAGACACCGGCGACCAGAACACGATATTCAATGTGACCGGCAGCGGGCTGGCTGGCGCAGACTGCTCCTCGGTTCTCATCGACGGAGTGGCGGCGAGCGGGACACCATCCGCAGCAAGCGGTTCGCTGCTCGCAGGCTGTGCCGTCCCGCAAGGGCTAACCAGCACACGCGTCGGCGCAGTCGCAGTGGCGTTTAACGCTGTGACCTCGGGTACAGGTGCAGGAGTTACTTTCACGTACGAACCGATGGTGGTGTCTGTGACCCCTGCAGCCGGGATGACCGGACAGGCGTTTACGCTCGTGGGCGCTTCGCTGGGTGGCATCACGTGTGGTGACATTGTGTTTGGTGCAGTGGCAGCGAGCGGCGGGCCAGCGAGCGTGAGCGCAGCAGGAGCGGGGCTCTTTGCGGTCACCGGATGCAGCGTACCGTCTGCGGTGGTGGGAACGGTTGCCGACGTCCGAGTGACGCTCGACGGCTTGAGCTCTGCCACCGGTAGCGTCTCGTTTGTATACGCGGCGACGATTTCGCGAATTGCGCCGACCTCGGGCCCGGTCGGCACGGCGGTGAGCATTATCGGCTACTTTGGCACTGGTCTGCCGCTCAACTCGATCTCGCTCGGCGGCCTGCTGTGCTCGGGCGCGGGTGTGGCGCAATCTGGTGCCACGGTCTTGCTTGGGTGCGTGGCGCCAAGCGCTGGATCCGGGAGCGTGGCTGCGGTCTCGGCGGTGGTCGGCAACGTAGCGGCGGTGGTTGACGGGCCGGCAGCGGACGTGTCGTTCAAGTACGTGCCCGCGGTGACGAGCGTGATGCCCAGCAGTGCGGCGGCCGGCACGGCTGTCGACATTGTGGGCATCGGGTTTGGTCCGGATGCGGTCGTCGACCTCGACGGGCTCAGCTGCAACTCGAGCGTGGTTGTCACTTTTACCCGTATCTCCGGCTGCGTGGTTCCAGCGCTTTCGTTTGCATCTGGGCGTGTGGTGAGTGCGAGAGTGACCAGCGGCGGCGAGGCTGCGAGCGGGGCGCTGACCATCCTGCCGGGCCTGGTCTCGATTAGTCCGAAACTGGGGCCAACCGGGACTGCGGTGACGTTGACTGGGACCGGGCTGGCCGGCACCGGGCTGAGTGTCTCTATTGGCGGGTATCCGTGCGCAGTGAGCTCGGCTGGGCTGGACAACAGCTACGGTATCCTCACGGGATGCACCATGCCGCTCGGGCCGAACACGGGCACATCGCAGGTGGTACAGGTGACAGTCAACGGGGTGACAAGCGTTGAGACAAGCGTCACGTTCTTCTACGTCGACATTCCGGCGCTTCTCGACTCGGTGCCGCAGTCTGGTCCGCAGGCCGGTGGTACCAACGTGTACATCTTTGCCTCGCCTCCGTTTGTCTTTCTGGACTCGCCGGCACTTGGCATCAAGTTTGAGAGCGTGGCGGCGAGCCGCAGTGTGGTTGACCGAGCGGCATCGCGGGCAGGCGGGCTGGTCGACCTCAGACGGAGCAGCATCACCTTTGTCTCCGAGTCCATTCTCCAGTTTACGCTGCCTGCGTTCCCGACGACGCGGGCTGTAACGCTCTCTGTCACCAACGACGGGTTCAACTATGCGCCGCCGCTGATGTTTACCTACTTTTCGACGCCTGTGCAGCTTGTGCTTGTCCGCCCGCTTCCGAGTGCGTACGACAATGCCGGTGCACTGGAGGCTTTGCTGCAGCCTGCGATCGGTGTTGGCGATGCAAGTGGGGCAATTGTGGTCAATGACGCATCAGTGCAGGTCCCGATCATGCTGCAAGTCGTGCGAGAGGCCGACAGCGAGCTGGTGACGCTCACGACGGGAACGAGTGCGACGACCGAGGCCGATGGCGTGGCCACGTTTTACGACTTTTCATTTGTGGGCCTCCGCAACGAGAGTTACCGATTCGAGTTTACGACGGCTGCCGGCTTTGCGCCGCTGGTGGTGAGCGGTGTGCGAGTCATGAGCTGCGGCGAGTCGCGCAACTACTCTGTGGCCATGGACAATCGAGTTGACTGCCAGTGCGGGCTCGGGTACGAGGTTGCGAGTGTGGCGGGCGAAGTCAAGTGCCAGCCGTGCTCAAGCCGCGGGTACAAGGACTTTGTCGGCGACGGCGGGTGCCTCGAGTGCCCGATCAACAAGTTCACGACTGCTGGGGCGCGCGGAGCGCGGTCAGACTGCCATTGCGGCGATGGGTGGTACCTGCCGTCGAGCGAGCCTGCTGGATGTGCCGACTGTGTGTGTCGGCGTTGTGTGCGTGGCGGTAACTGTACGTCGGGCGCGATTGTGCCACTGGCTGGCTTCTGGCGGGCGTCGCGGTCGCAAAACGATGTGATTCTCGAGTGCGACGAGGTGGATGCGTGCGTGGGTGGGGCATCGGAGGCGTGTGCGGCCGAGTACACTGGTCCGCTTTGCGGAGTGTGCCGTGACAGTTATGCCAAGTTTGGTGACAACTGCCTGCGATGTCCGAGTGTGATGGAGAACATGGCGATTCTTGTGGCGATTGCCATTGTCTTTATCGGCTTTATCCTCTTCCTCATCAAGTCTGCACTGCTCTCGTGGAAGTCGCAAAAGTCGATCTCTGCGGCGGTGTTCAAGATCATGATCAACTTTCTGCAGACAGTGGCGTTTTTGGGCGACTTTCGAACGCGATGGCCAAACACGCTACGGGTGCTGTTTGGCATGGCGTCGTCGTCGAACGGATTCTCGACACGGTTCTTCTCGATCCAGTGCGCGTTTGGGTGGAGCTTCTTTGACTCGGTCCTGGTGGCCATGCTTGTGCCTCTGTTTGTGGTTACGGTCCCGACCGCGCTCCTCTGTGGCAACTACTACGTCCGCAAGTGTGTTGGCTCACTGAAGACCAAGCGGTGGAAAGTGTTCTCGCGGCGGATCTGGGTCTCTGTCCTAGTGCTTATTTTCTTCACCCACCCCTCAGTGACGTCCACGGTGCTGGAGGTCTTTGCCTGCCGCAATATCGACGGTGTGGCGTATCTTGCTGCCGACATGTCGCTTGCGTGCTACACGGCGTCGCATGTGCGGTGGATGATTGCCGCAGGCGTTTTCTTTGTGGTGTACGTGGTGGGCGTGCCGGTTGGCGGTGTGTTTCTCCTCTGGCGACAGCGTGAGGTTCTGCACACGGCCGAGGGCCGGCGGCGGTACGCGTTCCTGGTCTCCGGATTTCTGCCGAACCGGTACTACTGGGAGATGGTCATTCTTGTGCGCAAGTCTGCCATCATCACCATCAAGGTCTTGCTCAAGACTAATCCTGTGGCGCAGGTGTATGCGGCGGTGTGGGTGGTGGCGCTGGCGCTGTTTGTCCACATGAAGGCCTCGCCGTTTGCGTTTTCGATTTTGACCTCGATGGAGATGCTCTCGCTCGTCGTCACCTTTGTCATCCTCATGGCCTCGCAGCTTTACTACGCCGACGAGCTTGGAGGGTCTGACACCGTGGTAGTCAACTCACCGTTCCACTCGGTCCTCACGATCTTCCTTGTTCTGCTCCTTCTCGGCTCAACCGGGTACATGCTCGCGGTTGCGGCGCGACAGAAGCTTCGCAAGATGCGCCACAAGCTGCCGCGGGTTGTATGGTGGATCTGTCGGCTCGATGGGGTGAGCGTGGCGGCGAACCGGGCCGAGGCGCAGTCTGCGGCGGGCGCAGTAGCCATCAAAAAGGCCGTTGCCATGGCGGATCTCACATACTCGGAGTACGACGATGACATCATCCGTGCTGGCGCTGTGGGCGTCGGGGCGGTTCTCATGGAGATGCGTCGAGACAATGATGCCGGGAGCGCTGCGTCCGGCAGCAGCAGCGGGTTGGAGACCGGTGGGGGGACGACGACCGGGACCGGAACCGCGACCGCGACCGGGACCACCGCCGATGCCGACGGTCGATGGAACAGCTCGAGCAGGTTGAGTGGCTCGGGTAGCTCTCGCATCTCGGGTGCGTCCGCTAGCTCGACGTAAAGCTTGTCAGTAGTCTGAATGCGAACCAGAGGTAGTGAAGAGCGAGGTGGTGACCGCCGAGTCACGGGAAGAGGCTGAGAGAGACGACGCTAGGTTCGAGGTGGCAGGGGTGGTAGACGCAAGGGTAGAGGTCGGGACAAGGCTTTGGGCAGACCTTGGGTGGGGGTGCGAGTCCGATGTGGCTCCCGAGTCTGATCCCGAGGCCGAGGTCGAGTCCGAGCCCGAGGATTCGGGATCGGGGTAGGCGTCATAGGTGTAGCTGGACTCTGCCGAGCGAGCGAGATCAAAGGTGGCCAGTGGTTTGGAGGTGGTCGATGAGGAAGGAGCGGGGGCAGATGCAAAAATGGCGGCGCGGAGGCGTTCGGCCGAGCGCTTGCCGGTATCGTCGACCATGGACGAAAAGACAGAGTCTGGGTTTGCGACCAGGGCGGCGGGTGAGTCAAACTCCACGACGCGGCCGTCGGCGAGTACCATGATGAGGTCGTAGTCGACGATGGTGTTGAGGCGATGGGCGACAGCAAGAACGGTGGTGGAGCGAGTGCGGAGCGAGGCGCGGAGCGAGGACTGGAGGATAGCGTCAGACTCGAGATCGATGTTGGCCGAGGCCTCGTCGAGAACCAGGATGCGGGCGTTTTTGAGGAGAGCGCGGGCGAGGCAGACGAGCTGGCGCTGGCCGACGGAGAGATTGGCGCCGGCCTCGGCGATGGTGACGTCGAGGCCCGAGGCGGCAGCCGGCTCGTCGACGACCATGCGCTCGACAACATGCTTGAGCTGGACCTGCTCGAGGACACGCCAGAGGTCTGCGTCAGGGTAGGCGCCAAACGGATCAATGTTGGAGCGAAGAGTGCCGGCAAATAGAACAGGATCTTGTGGGACGACGGCGAGTGCTGCGCGAAGGTGTGCAAGACCAAGGTCTGCGGTAACAACGCCGTCGATGGTGATGGAAGTGCGGGGAGATGGCTCGGCGAGGCGGAAAAGGGCGGCGAGGAGCGAAGACTTGCCGGCGCCCGTACGGCCGACGATGCCGACGAGCTTTCCCGGCGGGATGGAGGCTGTGAGGCCGTTGAGGACCGGCGGTGCGTTCGGTGTGTAGCGGAGCGTGAGGTCGCGGAAGGCAATGGCACCGGCTGATGGCCACGGCTTGGGCAGAGTGTGGCGGAGGGTGGGAGGAGTCTCGCGATCGGCTTCGGGCGGGAGGCGGGCGTAAGCGAGCTCACGCTCGACCGAAGTCATGAGATTCTCGACGACCGACGACTGGCGCACAGCCCACTGAAAGGCGCCCGAGAGCTGAAGAGCGTAGACGAGGGCGAGGGCGAGGAAGCCTGGCGAGATGGACGAAGCGGTGACGACGACGAGGACAGCGAGGAGAGTGACAAAAACCCCGGACATCATGTCGAGCCGAAAGCCGAGCCATCGCGAGGTGGCGAGAAACATGAGATACGTCGAGGTGTTGGCGTTGAGCTTGCCGGTGAAGCCGGCGGCAAAGACGGGCTGGGCGTCAAAGACGCGGATGGTGGTGAGACCGTCCAGCGACGAGGCAAAGTGGGCAAAGACTGGTGATTTCGAGACAGCGTCGAGGCGCTTGAGCTCGCGGGAAGACTTGACGTAGCGCGAGCGGACGTAGGCGTAGTAGGCGACGAGTGGGAGGAGCGGGATGAGAATCCAGGGAACGACGATTGCAGTGATGATGAGGACGGCGGTGGACATGAGCGAGACCTGGATAAAGTCGAAGAGAGTCCAGGGGAGGACCGAGTCAACGGCGCCCTGGTCGTCGGAGAAGCGATTGAGGATGCGGCCAACCGGGTTAGCGTCGAAGAACGCCATGGGTGAGCGCATGACGGCGTCGAGCATGTCCGAGTGGAGCTTGGCGGCGGCGGTAAGCATGGCGGCCCACGAGATCTGTGCGCGAGAGAACGAGAGGACCATGGCGGCGATGGCGACGAGAGCGTAGACATAGAGCCACGAAGGAGCACGCTGGTCTGATGCCGACGCCTCAGACCACTCGACGAGCCAGTAGTTGGGGAGAACGAGTGCGGCCTCGGCAATGAGGCAGAGGGCCACGACGCCAGCCGACTCTGGGGCGGAGCCCATCGACGAGAGGTACTTTCCGTAGGTGGCGGCGGAGACGGAGCCGACCGACCGCTCCTCGGCGACCAGTGACTCGGCCTTGTCGTCGGCGGTCTTGACGTAGGCCTGACTCGGCTGCGGCGGTCCAAGCTCGGACGAGAGCGTGGCCGACGTTCCGCGAGCCAAGCCAGCGCTCACGTGGTTGGCAAGGAGTTCAACCTGCGAGCCATGGCGCGAAGCCATCAGCGCGTCCATCGAGCCCTGGGCGGCAATGGAGCCGTCGACCATGAGGACGACGTTATCGGCGTCGGCGGCGTAGTGGAGCTGATGGGTGACGAGGAGGATGGCTGGGCGACGGGCGCGGGAAGAGAGCGGACGCGGGCAGTGCGGCGGTGGCGCCAAAGCGAGTCCGAGGATGGCACGGCGGAAGAGGTGGGCGCCGACCTTGGGATCGACTGCCGACAGCGGATCGTCGAGGAGGTAGACGTCGGGCGCGGCGTAGAGGGCACGAGCGAGCGAGACGCGGGCCTTTTGCCCGCCGGAGAGATTGACGCCGCGCTCGCCGATAAAGGTGAGGTCGCCAGCGGGCCAGAGCGCAAAGTCTGGGACGAGGGCTGCGGCTTCGACAACGGTGGCGTACCAAGCGTCGTCGTAGGGTGTGCCAAAGGTGATGTTGTCACGGATGGTGGCGGAGAGAATGAACGCTTCCTGGGCAACATAGCCGAGGCGGAGGCCAGCCGTCCAGGCTGGAAGCCGCGGTGCGGCCGGGAGCGGCGCCATCTCGCCGAGGAGCGCAGCGAGGAGCGACGACTTTCCGGCGCCGACCGAGCCGATGACGACGGTGAGGGTGTCGGGCACAAGCGTGAGCGGAATGTGTGAGAGCTGAAACCGACGCGAGGCCGAGGGCAGGCCGTCCGAGGTATCAGCGGAACCAGCTGCCGTGGCCGGGTGCCAGGAAAAGGCCGCGGTCGGCGAGAGAGCGAGGTACGGGGCGGACGGCGAGAGGTCGCCGGTGGTCGCCGGAGACGACGACAGCAGGTGCGGCACGGCAAACTCGGGCAGGTCAAGAAAGGCTTCGACGCGGCGGAGGGTGACGCGCGACTCTGCGCCGGTCATAGCGGCAAAGGGGATAAAGAGGGTGAAAGAGAGGCGGACCATGTTGAAGAGAGCGAGCGTGGTGAAGACGGAGGCCGGGGTGAGGGTGCGACCCTGAAAGTAGAGGGTGGTCATGGTGGTGAGCATGGTGAGAACGGCAAATACAGTGAACGACGCGAGGTTGGTGGCCATGAACCGGCCCATGACGCGGTGCGAGTGGATTTCCTGAGCGCGCTCGGAGCGGATGAGGCCGGCGAACGAGTCCTCCCACGCGTACATCTTCATGACGCGCATGCCCTTGAGCACGTCGGTGAGGAGCTTGAGGCGAGCGTCGGTAAAGCTGGCGGTGATGGAGCGGCGAGCGCCGATGCGGCGCGAAAAGTACCACTGCAGCGGGAGGAGGAGGGTGAGGGTGGCAAAGCCGACGAGGCAGGCCGGGCCGATGGCGCGCCACATGAGGATGAGCGCGACGATGCACTCAAGTGGGGCGAGAACAAGAAAGATGGCGTAGGTGGCAAAGAGCTCCAGCCGGGCAGCATCGGACGAAATGATGTTGACGATACGGCCGGTCGAGGTGCCGGCAAGCGCCGACTGCGGGACGCGAAGCGCCTTGGCGTACATCAGCGACGCGATCGAGGTGCGGAACCAGGTCCCGCATCGGTTTGCACCGAAAAAGTAGACGTGATGGAGAACGCCATGAGCAATGACTGAGAGCGAGAGGCCCAGAGCCCAGAGCCAGCCGACAGGCGAGGAGACCGAGTCCGACTTCGCCGATTCGGAGGCCACAAACTCGACAAGGCCGGTGAGACAGATGACCTGGACGAGGCGAACAGCCGACTCTGCAGCCACAGCAGACGAGACTTTGAGATAGTAAGGTCCAAAGGCTTCGGCCAGAGCCCGAGCCAGCCGCCAGTTGCCACCCGACGTGCGATGCCTCTCCCATGCCTCGGCCAGATCAGCCGACAATCGCTCGGTGGTGTCGGCCTCGTCGAGGTCGGGCATGTCGTCGAGCGTCAGCGCCCGCTGGCTACCAAGGGCGAGGAGCGGGGAGACCCATGACCACGTGAGTTTGGAGAAGATAGACGCTGTGGCAAGAGTCGTCATGGGCCAGGGGCGCGCTGGGGGGGGGGGGGGGGGGAGGTGAGGTGGCTGGTGGTGGGCTTTGGTGGAGGGGGGGGGGGGGGGGGGACGGATGGCGCTTCTTCGGGCTGCCGATCGGGCACATCTTGTGCCCGACACGAGAGTCGGCAGCGGTGGCTCGGCACGGCTCGGGCCGCGGCGGCGAGGCGTCGCGGGTTGCCAGAGCGTGCGTCAGGGACGTAGAGGTGTCATCGTCGGCCGGAAAGGGAGATCAGGCTAGTTGTTGTCGGCGGTGTCGCGGGCGTCGCGCTCGTCAAGGAGGCGAACGATGTCGTCCTCGAGTGAGAGCGGTGAGACGGTGGGCAGATGGCGCGAGACGACGTGGCCGTCTGCGTCGACGACAAAGGTCTCAAAGTTCCACTTGACACGGGTCATAAACAGCGTCGACGACTGCGCCTTGAGATAGCGGTACAGCGGGGCGGCGTTGCTACCGTTGACGTCAATCTTGTCAAAGAGCGGGAACTGGACGTTGTACCGCGCCACAAACTCGAGGATCTCTTCGTTGGTGCCGGGTTCTTGTCCGCCGAATTGCTGTCGAGCAGAGTGTAGTGCAGTTAAGGCGCCATCCCAAGCCATCGACAATCGACCGGAGGCATCCCACACCATTGACGTTCGTTCGTCACGCGCCACGAAGCAAGCGATCGACCGGGTACGGAGGCAGTTGTGGAGCAGAGTCAGTGAGAGGTGACATCGATGATCATCCAAGGCACAACGAGGTGTTTGGTGTTCGGCCAGCAGTTGAGACACGACCCCAAAACCATCAAAGTTCGTCACGGGCCACGTAGCAAGCGATCGACCGGGTGCGGAGTTTTTGCGGAACAGAGTGCGCAGCCGGATGACCAAGCCACCGAATATTGACAATAGTGAGTCCGATGAGCAGAAGAGTACAACCACCACAGACAGCTAGCCCATACCCATGCCCGCTACCACCATCACCCCCATCATTCCCATCATCCCAACCATCCCAACCATCCCAACCATCACCATCATCACCCCGCTGATCAGCTACGGATGCGTACGTTGCAGGGGAATGCAAGAATGTTGAAGTTGCGGTCGCGGAGCTTCTCGTGCAAGGTGACCAGCTGGGTGTATCGAGCATCCGTAAGGCCTCACTTTGAGGCCACGTTAGTGATGAGGAGAACAGTATCCTTGTATGTAGCAAGGGAGATCTCTTCTCCATGGATGTCCTTGACTGTAAAGTCATAGATCGACTCGGCATCCGGTACAGACTGACGCGAACCCATGTTAGTCACGAGAGAGGTGGTTGTCAACAAGCAGCAGCCGACGCTGACGGCCGCCACAGCCATAGCCATTCCCGGCTGTCGGAGACTGCCTACTACACTTTGTATACCACCGAGCATGCTACAGGTGGCCAGTGTCGAGTGTGGTCGGTTACCCGTCCGAGTCTGTCACATCCGCTGCTATCGTCGCCTATGTGGCGAACAATGGCGCACCGCCGCTCCACCGCCTCGTCAAGCAGGTTAAGGTCGGCAACAACCTGCTGAGGTTGCTGCTGGCATGACAATGTCAACTGTGCTCTATCGCTACAGTTATCGTCTCATCCACCATCTCCAGCGCCATCAGTACAATGATCTTGTCCACGCGCGCACATGATGAGGCCAAAGGTGAGCACGTGATCGGTCATCAGGGGGAGGCATCAAGCCCATATGCCTGATCAGCCGCTGCGAGTGGATGGCGGCTGTGTGATGAGGCCATGTACACCGCTGCAGCATGTTCATGTCGTCGCAACCGGCCTCTGGTTCAGCCGTGGCTCTCGTTCACCGCTCGCCCGCTCGCCGCTCGTCGCTGGCCGCTCGTCTCTGCACCCGTCTCGCTCCAAGCAGAGCAGTCGACACTAAGCGTTCCAGACACATCCCCTCCATACGCAACCACCAGCACAGGCATTCTCTCCTGTGACAACCTCTTTGCACGGCATTACAGCTACCGATCCCGTGTGTGATCGAGTGGTTGGCTGGCGACTTGCTTGACCTGCGTGTTGGGCTTTGAGCTTCCATTGGAAGGTCCGTCGAAGGCGTTCGAAGTTTCTCATTCGCTTCCATCGAAGGAATAGAAGGTTGCTCGTTGACAAAAAGACTCGCTTGGTGACCGACTCCATCTTTTTGCACCAAAGGCTCGAACAGATACATACCTGTATCTTGGCTGTTGTGACCATCGTCATCGTCCTCCTCCCTCCTCCTTCTCATCCTTAACCTACACACCCTTTGCCCTCCTCGTTAGCGCGCAAGGAAATCCATTTGATGCCCAAAGGTGTGACAACAACAACAACGACAATCTTTACCACCGCTGAGACGTTCGTGAATCGGCTCAAAACCACTTGCACCAAGACATAGCCTCTAGCTGCTTCTGCATCGACCGCTCTGCCCACTATGGCTCTTGCTGCCGGTGGCCTGGCCGATGCTGACCTCCTCCCGCCGTTTCTCCGCTCTCTGCGGACCATCGTCGATACCGAGACCGATGCGGTCGTATGGCGCGCCGACGGCGCCCATTTCACCATCCTCGACCCGCCGGCCTTTGCCGCCAACGTCCTGCCGCGACACTTTAACCATGCCAAGTTCAAGTCGTTTGTCCGCCAGCTCAACAACTTTCGTTCTCCAAGGTTGCCGGCCCGGCCAACGCCTTGGGCCCCTGCACCTTTGCTCACGACTACTTTCTCCGCGAGCCCCCGAGCTCATCCATCGCATCAAGCGCAAGCCGCAGAAGCGTCGCCGCGGCCAGCTGACCCGCGCCGCTCGCATCGCCGCCACCGGCAACCCGCCTGCAACCTCGGATGCCGCTCGCGTCACTGACCTGCGCGTTGAGGTCGAGTCGCTCAAGCGTACCCGCGACGAGTACGAGCACGCCATCGACTCGATGGCCATGCGCCAGGCCGACATGGAGCGCCGCGTCGCCGACCTCGACGCCACTGCCGAGGCTCTTCGCGACCAGGTTGATGCCGCGCGCAACCAGCATGCCGCCCTCGCCGCCGCTATCGACAACCTTCGCGCCGTCCTCCCGCCGGGCTTTACCGCCGCCATGGCCCCGCAGGCCTCGGTCCCAGTCGCCCCTGCGCCCATGGACCTCGCCGCGCCGCAGCAGCCCATTGCCACCCGCCTCCACAACGAGACCCTCGATCTGATCTTTGGCACTATCGTCTCGCCGACCCTCTCCACCGACTCGGACGGCCCTTTCCCGCCGGTCTCGCTCCGCCCGGGCCTCTCCGCCACGCCTCCCCTGCCCGTTGATGACCGCCACGACTACACCCGCCCGCTCAAGCGCGCTCGTCCGCTCGCCCCGATCGATGCCCCCAAGGATCATCACGCCCACGACCCATTCTGGACTCACGCCGGCGCTCTCCTCACCCCGACCTGGGCCTCGCGCACATGACCCCCCCCCCCCCCCCCCCTCCCACGCACACGTGCCTCACACAAAAATTGCCCAAATTCGATCACCCACGTCCCAAATTGGACCGACCATACCACAGCTGAGCCACTGCTACAGCCGCCACAGCCGCCACAACCACTAGCATCGTCACCGTCACACCTCTCTCCGTCCACAATGCACCCTCCCCGCCCCCACTTCCTCGTGCCCCTCCTCTCCCTCTCCCTCATCCTCACCCTCACCCTCCTCCCGCTGGCCAGCGGCACTCCGGCTCGGCCGGACATTGCTCAGTGCCGAACAGAGCGCCTCCTCTCCGACTCTACCATCTTCTCATGTGGGCCATCGGACTCTGCAAGCGCTATGATTGTCTCGGACAAGTTGCGATTGGCGAGAGGCTGGGATGTCGTCATCGGATGTGCTTCCTCGGCTACCATTGTTCTCGTCACGAACGATGGCTCTGCTACCTTTGCCCCTCCCACCGTCATCGCGAGCGAGTTTGTCAATGGCATCGCTCATCTGACAACAGCCCTCATCGACGCCGATGCCCATTGGGATCTCGTCGCGGCTTCAGCTGGCAACTCGTCCGTCGTCTGGATACGCAACATCGACTCGGCTGGCTCCTTTGCCGCCCCCCAGCTCGTGGCTGACAATCTCGACGCCGTCGCCGCCGTCGCCGTCGGTGACGTCAACGGTGACGGAAGCAACGACGTGGTTGCTGCGGTCGAGAATGCTCAGCAAATTGTGTGGATCGCTAACAATGGTACCGGCACCTTTGCGCTTCCTCTCGTCATCGACAGTGGCAGCCTCAATGGCGTCCGCGCCGTCGCCCTTGGTGACATCAACGGCGACGGTCGACTCGACGTCGCCGCCACACCGGCGTTTGAAGACGTCGTTGTGTGGTACGCCAATCATGTGGCCATCAATGGCACCTTTTCGTCGCGCCGCATCGCCATGACCGCAACCGATGACGTCTCGGACGTTGTCCTCGCAGACCTGGACTCGGACGGCATTCTCGACATTGCCGCCGTCTCGCTCGCTGATGACAAACTCGCGTGGGCTCGCGGCGTCGACGGTGCCGGCACCTTCTCACCGCAGATTGTCGTCTCTACCGCGCTCAACGGTGCCCGCTCGGTCATCGCCGTCGACGTCGACTCGGACGGAGACCTTGACCTTGTCGCCTCGGCCGTCTACGCCAACATGCTCTACTGGGCCGAGAACGTCTCGCCTGCTCGCGGCTTTGGCCCTGCCCAGAGGCTTGCTGTCGACTTTACCGACCCGTCTGCGCTCGCAGTCGCAGACATCGACGGTGATGGCCGCCGTGACATCATCGCCTCCAGCGCCGCTGGCACAGGCCCCGTTGCCTGGTTCCGCAACACTCCGCCGAGCTCGACGTGGTCGTCCGACATCACCATCACCTCTACCGCCGACGGCATCCGTCACATCACTGTCGCAGACATCGATGCTGACGGTGACCTCGACGTCGTCTACGTCAACTACGGCGACGACTCCATCCGCTGGGTGAGCAACACCAACGGCGCCGCCGACTTTGCCGACCCACGCACTATTACCACCGTTGCCGATGGCGTTACTGCCGCCGCTGCTGCCGACATCGACAACGACGGCGACCTTGATCTCGTCTCGGTCTCAGAGCGCGACTCAAAGGTTGCCTGGTACGAGAACCTCGATGGTCGCGGCTCGTTTGGCCCGCAACAAGTCATCACCACCACCCATCCCGGCGCATTTGCCCTCCGCGCCCTTGACTTTGACCACTCGGGCTCCATCGACATCATCTACGCCGCCGTCGACGACGACTCGATCGTGTACCTCTCCAACACCGATGGCCGCGGCTCGTTTGCATCCCCGGTTGTCGTCAACGCTGCCTGCGCCGGCGCCGCCTCGGTCGCCGTCGCAGACCTCAACGACGACTCCGAGTTTGACGTCATCGTCGCCTGCCGTGGCAGCGACAAGGTCGAGTGGCACGCCGGCGTTGGCGATGGCTCTTTCGGCCCTGCCCAGCCCGTTGAGACCACTCTCAATCGTCCCGTCGACGTGCAGCCGGCAGACATGGATGCTGACGGTGACATTGACGTTGTCATTGTTGCTTCGCTCTCTGCTGCGGTTGTCTGGCGCGAAAACTCGGACAGCGCCGGAACCTTTACCACCACGAACACCATTGCCTCAGGTGTGGACCTTGCTGGCATCGCCTCTGTCACCGTCGCCGACTTTGATCTCGACGGCGACCTCGACATCGCCGTCGCCATCTTTGATGAGAACGTTTTCTCCTGGTTCGAGAACTACGCTAGCGGCGTCTCGTGGTCGTCCAAGCGGGATATGTACAGTGGCTCGGGTGCCTTTGCCATCACTGCCGCCGACATCGACGCCGACGGCGACAGCGATCTCATCGTCGGTACTCAGTACTCGGACAAGCTCGTCATGCTCACCCGCTATCTCCGCGGCCCGTTCCACAACTACTCTGCCCCGGCAGTCGCCTACGCTCCGACATCGCTTGCTTGCTCCTCCGCGCCACACACCCTTGCATGCATCACCGAGAGCCTCGGCGCGCTCTCGTGGTGCGAGCAGCAGACACTCCTTCTGCCATCTGCTGACTTTGTCAACTGCCGCCGTGACACTCACATCCTTATCGAGCGTCCGGTTGCCCTCGCGCCTCTCTCCTCCTCCGGCCGTGTCGCCATTAACTGCACCGCGGCCGGCGGCGGTGTCACCTTTCGGGTCACGCCCCACAGCTCGCCGCTCATCGACACGCTTGGCCATCTCGCGATCTCCGGCATCGACATTGTTGGCATGACCACCGGCCGGAGCTCGCTCTACGCCTCGCCGGGCATTCGCGCTGATGGCGCAGGCGTCCGTCTTCGCCTTGCTGCGCTCACCGTCTCGCCAGTTCGGCTGGTACCCTCCCGGGCATCCAGTATCTGCACGAGGGCCGCGGTGGTGCACTGCTCGCATCAGGCGGCGCCGAGCTCGATTTGGCCGCCGTTACCATGACACACAACTCGGCGTCGTTCCGCGGCGGGCGCTCTTTGCCACTGGCGCCGGCACCCGGGTCACCACTACCGATCTGACCCTCGCTCACTGCACCGCCGGCGAGCAGGGCGGTGGGATGGCCATCGTCGGCAGTGCACACCTTCGCGCTCACGCCAACACGCTCATCAATGCCTGCACTGCCGCCAACACCGGTGGCGGTGGTCTCTTTGTCGGTACGACGGCCATCGCCAATCTCGACGCCGCGCCGCAAATCACCGCCAACGTCGCAGCCGGCAATGGACTCGGTGGCGGCATCCTTGCCGACGCCGGCAGCACACTCTCCGTCACGTCCGCTATCTTTGCCAACAACGTCGCCAGTTCGGGCGGCGGCATCGCTGTCGTCGATCCCCAGCTTGTCGCCGAGACGCTGCGCGCCACCGCTAGCGTGGACGTGCCCATGGCTCGTGGTGCCGCCGCCGCCTCTGCCGGCCCGACCGCCATCCCCAGCATCGAGCTCGTCGATGTTGCCCTCACCGACAACAGCGCTTCTTTGTTTGGCGATGCTGTCTTTGCCTGCGGCGCTTCCATTGCTATGCGCGGCGCCGCTGCATCATGGCGAAGCAGCTCTAAGCATGCCTTTGTCTGCGCCGCTGACGGCTTTGCGCCGAGCCTGGCCTCGTCTGTCGGCCTCCCTTGGCTCCGCATTGCGCCCGACGCCTGGTCCGCGCTGGTGGAGACCGGCGCCGGCAAGATCGCCGGCCCTTTGGCAACGCTCGAGTGGGCCAGCCTTCCGCGGACTTCTGTCCCATCGGGCGAAGCCATCGAAGGTGCCATCCGCGGCCGTGACATGTTTGGCCAGAGTCTGATCGAGCCGCACGTCACGCTTGTGCTGAGCTACGACACTCCGCAGAGCTCCGCTCTCGTCGGCGGCGTGGCAACAACCCCACTGGTGACAACGGCAGTCGCCTCTCCCACCGCTGCTGTCTACGTCACCGCTGGCGCCGAGACCAACATCCCGCTGGCGGTCGACGTGGCGCTGGGCGTCGACGCGCGCCTGGCCGCATCGGGAGCCACCGTCGGCATGCCTGTTTCTCCGCTCCGTGCGAGCATGACGGTCGGCGGGTGCGCAGCGGGTGAGGGTGGCGTCGCCCGCACCATCGACGGCGTTGATGTCATTGCCTGCGCGCTCTGCCCGTCCGGTACCACCTCGCCAGGCGACGGCAGCCTCGCGAGCTGCACTGGCACTCTGAGTTGCCCGGAAAACACGTTCCGGACGCCGAGCAACGCGTCGACCGACGGATCCGGCTCTGTCTGCGTCTGCAAGTCCGGGTTCTGGAGCCCGAGCATGACTGTCGACACGGCGTGCGAGCTCTGCCCGCGCGGCGGCGTGTGCGCCGGTGAGCTCGAGCCGCCCGTCGCGGCACCGGGCTTCTTCCCGGACGCTGCTGGCTCGACCCTCTTTGTGGCGTGCCCGAACGAGCGCGCGTGCGCCGGCGATGGCACCTGTTCATCAGGCTACACCGCTCGGCTGTGCGCCGAGTGCGACCGTGGGTACTATCGGCTCGGCTCGGTGTGCCACAAGTGTAACGGCGGGCGGAACGCGCTCGTCATCACGCTGCTTGTCCTCGGCATCCTAGCTGTCTGCTGGATGCTCCTTGGCTTCAATCTCGCCGAGAGCATGCGGTACAAGTTTGCAGCGGCCATGATCGGCCTCAACGGCCTTCAGATCTCGGCGCTGTACGGTAAGCTCGACCTCGACTGGGGTGATTTTGCCCAGCTCTACTTTGACCTCGCATCGGCGCTGAACGTCGATCTTGGCCTCACCGCACCCGAGTGCGCCGTTGTCACCAACGCCGACGTCTGGGTCCTCAAGTGGGTCCTCACGCTCGCGCTCCCGCTGTTGGCGGCCATCATTGTCGGCATCGGCGCTTGCGCAATCGTCGTCGGGCGTCAAGCCGGGCTTGGCTTGCTGGCCGCCATCAATGGCCGCCGGCTCGTCGGTGCCTACGGCCGCACTGTCTTCCAGATCCTCGTCCTGCTCTACCTCCCGCTGGCGCGGGCCTCGTTTGCCGTCTTTGGCTGCCGCCGCGACGAGAGCCGCCGTTGGGTCATGGACGCAGACCCGGCTCGGAGCTGCTACAACAGCGCGTGGTGGCGCGGCCTATTTGCCCCGGGTCTCCTGGCAGTCGCCGGCTACGGGATCGGCGTCCCGGCAGCCGTCGTCGCCGTCTTGTGGCAGAAGCGCCGGCACCTCGATCCAGTGGCCTTTCAGCTCCAGTACGGCTTTCTTGTTGGCCGTTTCACCGGCAACACATGGTGGTTCGAGGCGGCAATCATGGCCCGCAAGGCCGGCGTTGTCATCGCCATGACCTTTGTCTTTGCCGACGAGGGCAAGGCCAACACCGCGCTTGTTATCCTCGTCGCCGCACTCGTCCATCTTGCGCTCGCCCGGCCGTACGCCGCCGGCTTTCACAATGCGGTCGCCGGCATCGTCCTCGCCGCCACCAGCCTCGTTCTCTACGGCGGTACCTTTGACGAGCGCGAGTCACGGCGCATCGCCGTCGCTGTCGGCATCATCGTCAACGTCCTCGCCATTGTCCTCGGCAACGCCATTGACATCCTTCGCATGGTCCGCAACGAGAAGGCTGTCGAGGCAGATGAATTTTACGTCTCGGGCGTGTTTGCCAACGCTGACGGCTTTGATGACGCCGCCGACCTCGACCCGGCAACGCAAAGCCGGATGGGCGATGGCGAGAGCGTCCTGCTCGCCGATCTTGGCCACCGGCACGAAGCCTCTGCTCAGGTTGCCTCTCTCGACACCATAGCCGACTCGGGCTGCTCCAGCAGCATCATCACCGGTGTCGGCATGGACTCCAGCTTGTTCAAGCACACGCCGCCGCCATCCATAGTCGGGTCGAACGGGAGCGCTCCCGCTCCCGCTCCCGCCATCGGCTCGGTCGGCTCCTCGTCGTCAAACTGAGCTCGGTACTGCTACTCTAGCGACGCGAAGCCAAACACCATCCACGCCAGAAGCGTCTTGGCCATGAGCGAGATAAGGACAAAGATGACTTCGCCTGTGAGTGCAGACCACCCGAACCGTGAGTTGGTGATGGCCAAGTTGAGCGGAAAGGCAAGCGTGGCGACCATCTGAAGAGCTACCAGCGCCACGAGAAAGCTCGGGTACGCGCCGCCGGCCATGGCGGCATAGAGAACAATCACCAGCCACGGCATGCCGCCGGCAAAGCAGCCAAACCCGAACAAAGTCCAAGAAAGACTGCCAGTCGTCCGGACGTTGGCCTCTGCTGCAGAACCGAGCGCAAAGCATGCCACCATCGACGACGTGAGCATGAGCAGCGCCGCAAGATCCGTCACACCGGCAATCATGGCGATGAGCAAGTACATGATGACAGCCGGTATACCCATGGCCAGCCAGCGAAGCGAGCCGGCTCGACGACGGATCTGCGTGGAATAACGGTCAAAGCCAACAGAAGCGAGGAGAGCAAGGCCGGCGGCCTCGAGACCGACGTACAAAGCAGTTGTCGAGGCGAGATTGACCGAGAAGAGCACTTTGGCCTGAGGGATAGCGAGAAGACCAGGCGCAGCGTTGGAAAAGCTCGCAGTCACCGGCACGCTTGCTATTCCTCCTCGAGCGAGAAAGACTATCGCCTGTACCGCATGAAGGATGGCGACGATGACCAGCCAGATGCGGAGCTCAGCAAAGGCTGTCCGCCGCACCGACTTTTGCGTCGCCTCTCCGCCGCCGTTCCGCACATACCGCGCCGCCGCACCCGGTACGCCCATAATGGGTGCCGGTGGCGCGTCCCTGCCCAACTCGTTGCCCGCCACTTGTCGTCGGTGGAGCGACATGACCTGAGTCAAGCTACCTCTCGTACCGTCCGCTCCGAGGCACTCCGCTCCGTTCATACCACCCAGAGAAGCATTCGGCCGCATCACAGAAGAAAAAATGTCAGCTCCTCACCCCCCACCCCCCACCCACTTGCGACCCTCCCAACAATTTGTGTCGTCAACACTCGCACCCCCCACGCCACATCACCACAACCGGTGCATACACACACACACGTAGGCGCACATGCCAGCACGCTTGCAAACACCTCACCCGTCGTCACCGCTCGCCGCTCTGTCTATGGCCGCTGGTGGGCGCAGGTACGAGTGGGCGTTCGAGGCCCTGCCGGAAGCGCTCCCCACCGACGCGGAGGAGCTGTCGCTGGTCGGAACCGACTGCCGGTCGATCGTCGCCCTCGGCGCAGCGCTGAGCTCGCCGTCGCTGACCACTGTCCGGCTCATGTCGCACGGCTCGCTGCGATCGCTCGACGGCATCGGCGTTGCGCTCCATATAACCCATCTCATTTGTCCCAGCAATCGAATCGGCTCGCCGCTCGCAAAGCAAACGCTCTCGCTGCCGGCCCTCGTTGCCCTCAACCTCGCAGGCAACGAGCTGACGAGCCTGCCGACATCGGCCGAGCTCGATGCCCCAATGCTTGCCGATCTCGATGTTGCTGACAATGCGCTGACCGACCTCGCCGGTGTCGGTCGGCTTGCCGCGCTCACCAAGATCAACCTCTCGGGCAATCGCCTAGCCTCGCCCGCGGTTCTCTCGAAACTTGCAAGGCTGCCCCGCCTTGCACACTTGGCGCTGGCCGATCCGCACGCCCGGGCAACCCGCTCGCGCGGCATCCGTCGTATGTCGACCTTGTACTCCACCACATGCCCGCGCTGTCAAGCCTCGACGGCCTGCGGGTGGCCGAGAGCCGAGTCGCCACCGCCCGCGATGCTCACCTCGCCGCCGAGCGCGAGTTTGCGGCTACGCGCGCCGCGGCGGTTGATTCCGCGCGGCGAGCTGCTTCTGCAGCAGCTATCCGTGCCCGTGCCGCCACCAACGCCCACGATCGCGCTTGTCGCGTGCTCGATGCCGAGTGGACGGCGCTGGTGAGCGCCGTCACCGACGCCACGGCCGCGCTCGACGCCGAGTACGCCGCTGCTGCTGCTGCTGCTTCCGCACGGCTCGCCTCTGCCGAGGCCCAGCTCGCGAGTCTCGGGCCACGCTATACGGAAGCCTTTTCTGCACTCGACACTGCGATGGCGGACGCGCGTGCTGCCATTGATGCCCGCACACGTGCGTTGACCTCACACGCTGCGCACGCCGCGCGGCTAGACATCCGAACGCTTGCTGGCGGTGCCCTTGTCCCACTTCCGCTCGCGTCGCCCGCAGGAGCTGCACTCTCGGCGCTTGTCGCTGATCTCGCGCCCGGCTACAAGCTTGCCATCCACGCTGCCTATGAGGCGTCGGCAACGCCAGCAATGGCATCGGCTGAGTACCCGCCAGGCCTCAGCTATGTCGTTTGTGCCAAGGTCGACGACGCCCTGCTCTCGACCGGCAATGTCGGTGAAACAGCTTGCTCAAAAACAGACACGCTCCTTGCCGCACTCGACACCGTGACCATCGAGCCGGGCCGGCCGGTCTACATCGGCATCCTGGACGGAGGCGGCAGCCTCCGCTTTCTCATCCACCTGGGCGCTCCGTTTGATTTGGCCGAATCACGACTAACATCTGATGTTGTTGTCGATGCCGCCGCATCCGCCCAGAAACTGCTTGACGAAGCGCTCGATATTCTGGCCAGCTACGCCTCCTCTGCAAGCACGTCATACCCACGCTCGCTCTCGCCTTCTGCCGCCGCAGCGCTCCGTGCTGCTCTCTGTGCCGATAGCAGCGCGAGTGGCAACCAGGACAGGCTGTCACCTATTTGGGGCCACGTGAGTCAAGCCAATTAAAATGCGGATAAGCGGTCTGTCAAACGTTTTTTCCTCCCACAGTCCACCCTCGCGAAGACCCGATTTTTTCCCACAGCGGATAGGAATGGTCATCACCTCGCTCCAGAACGCGGTGGGGCGTGGGAACAAGAGCATAGCCGAGATATTGTGGGAAGGTTTAGCGAGCAAACAAGGCGACACAGGTATACTTGGAACGTTCTTGCTTGCTTGCTCTGTGACCACGGTGCCGCGCCATGCCACACCGTGTTGTCCTCTTCAAGCGCGGCCATGTCACCGTGAAGGCCAATGCGCTCTGCGACTCGTATGTCTTCAATGAGCTTATCAAGGTCCTCGACGCAGGCGGGCCGGACGAGAGTCGCCCAGAGAGCGGAAGCGAAGCCCAACAGAGCCCTGGTCCACATGAAGTACATGCGGTTGGCTCACCCGGTTCTGGGGGCTCGGTCGGCTCGGCTGGCTCGGCTGGCTTGTCGCCTCACGCACTCGCAGACTCGGAACAGCTCGCGGCGAGCCATCACGGTCGGCTGGAGTCTATTCCGGGCTCCATAGGTCTGGTCCAAGGCCTCTCGGCTTCGTCGTCATCGTCACTGGGACGGGAGACGGCGCCGCCGCGGAGGGTCGACTGGCTCGGCAAAGGCTCGACAGAGTCTGGTGAGAGCGGAAAGTCGGACGAAGGAACAGACGTCGACGATGATGTCGGCTCAACCGCGACCATCAAGTCGGTCAAGTCAAGCCGGTCGACCAAGTCGCTCCGCTCGAGACGGATTGCCAAGAAGGTCAAGTCGATCGATGTGTCGTGGCAAGGTCTCGACCGCGAGAAGACCCGCACGCTCTGTGCCACGCTGTCGTTGTTGCCGCGGCTCGAGGCTGTCGTCTTCTCGCACAACCGACTCAAGGCCCAAGGTATGGTGTATGTGGCACGCATGCTTGTGAATGCACCGCTCACAAGACTTTCTCTCTGTGACGTCTCGCTCGACGTCGATGGACTTGCGGTGCTTTCCCGCGGCATCCGAGGCTGTCCCACCCTCCGTGTGCTAGACGTCTCACACAACCCACTCGGATCGGCTGTCACCGAGGGATCGCTCGATCTCTCACAAATCGACCTCGACGAGCAAGCGCAGACGTCTGCCAACCTCAGCAAGTACGCGGGGCGCATCTTTGCTGCCGTCCAGCTCGATGAGCTCCGTCTGGTGGCATGCAACTTTGGCGATAGCGACGTCCATGCGCTCCTCGCCGCCATGGTCGACGTGCCTGGCGGCGAGGTCTTTCCAGCTCACATTGACCTCGCCAAGAACGCCATCACCGACTCGAGTGCCTCACAAATTGCCTTTGTGCTCGCGCATCCCAAGTCAACGATCTCGTCGATCTGTCTCGACTACAACCACCTCGGTCCTGGTGGTGCCTCAGTCATCGCAGCCGCACTCCCAGCCGCCACCTCGCTCACTGTGCTCGGCATCGCCGACAACGAGCTCTTTGACGACGGCGTCGCTGCCATCGCGCAGACACTCGCCCGTGCGCCCGCCCTTGAGGAGCTCAACATTGCCGCCAACTTTGTATCAGACGATGCCATGGGCGCTGTCGCCCGAGCGGTTGTTCTCAACGCCCGCATTGCGCGAGTTGATTTGAGCGGCAACGACGTAACCGATGCTGGCGTCCATGAGTTAATCTGCCTTCTGGAGCTGTTCCCGACCCGCCCGCCTCTCGAGCTTGCTGTGGACAACAACTCGGTCACTCCCGAGACTGCTCAGCAGCTGACCGATGCCATCGCGCGCATCGCTGACAACGATCGCTTCGACAGCACGTTCTCTGTCCCACAAGCCGTCCTCGACGCCGCCTTTGTCTCGCATCCGGTATCCACACACGACCCACTCACTTTGCTCCAGGCACAGGACACCCGCATGGCGACGGCGGCGGGCCGTCTCCTCGCCGGCCCGCATCACTCGTCGCTGACCATCGAGCGCGCCCGAACCGCAGACGTTCTCGCCGACCTCGAGTCCAAGTTCCCGGGTGTCACCGATGCCTTTTACACTGTGTACGCCCAGATGCAGGCTGCTGCCCTCGGTCCCAAAGGGTCGGCTATCCCCGCCTGGTGGTCCGACAGCGCCCATGAGCTGCCGGTAGCCCGCCCTGCGAGTACCGATGAGCAACCACCCCAGCTCGGCGTCGCCGAGCCCGCCGGTCAGGGGCAGAAGCCTGTCGAGAACAAGAGCAACGAGAGGGAGAGCCAAAGTGCGCAAGCTTCTTCGCGCTTTCCTGTCTCGCTCCGCGACGTTGCCTACGCCAGCTCCTCGGGCTTGGTGACTGGGTCAGCCTCGCCGACCAACTCACGGGGCACAACCGGTGGCGCCTCGCTTGCTTCACTGCCATCGTCGCAGTTGTCGGGCTCGGGCTTGGGCTCGGGCATGCATGTCGCGGATTCTGGGTTGCCCCTCTGCCGCGTCAATAGCTCGGGCGTGCGGATCAAGAGCATTGCACGACAGGATGAGGTCCACCGATCGTCGTCGTCGACTGCGTTTCACTTTTACTCGTGACAAGCCTCGCTCAGCAGCTATCGGTGGTGACCGAGAGCGCGCGCGCATAGGCTTGCGGCATGTGCGAGGTAAACGCGTCGGGAGCAAGCGTCAGGCCCGCGGCGAGTGCACCGGGCTCACTCTCGTTGACAATCTCGCCGCCATTGTCGACGACCAAAACCGTGCCGGCGACAACGAGATTGGCCTCGAGGCCCGGGCTGGAGAGCGACGGGAGGTCGGTCGGCGCAGGCAGCAGAGCGGCACCGGCGTCGACCTGCTCGCCAAGAAGAATGGCCGGGACCAGCGCAGCTGCGCTTGTAGCGAGTGCGACAAGCGGTGCCGTCACCCGCGCTGCCACGTGCGAGGCCGTCAGTCGTGGCAGGGCGTCGGCGGTGGCTACGTAGACAACAACTGTTCTGCGGACCACGTCCTGGATCGCGTACCGGTGCGACACAAACGGAAGCGGGGCGTATGCAAGTGCGCGGACAGTGGCTGCGGGTGCAGCCTCGCGCATCGGCTCGACAAGGTAGAGCGCGAGGAGCGCGGCAACCGAGCCGCCGAGAGAGTGCCCGGCCACCACCACGGTGGCCGGCGCAGCCTGTGCCAGAGCCAGCCGTGCGAGCTCTGGTCCGATCTCGTCGCGGAGTGTAACCGCGAGCTCGTGCGCCTCGCGCGCCACAAAGTTAGCATCATCGAGCTTGAGCGGTGGCTTGACAAGTGCCGAGGTCACAAGCTCGTCCAAACTGCGCGGCGCGGCAATGGCAACGACAATCACGCTATTAGCGGTGTCCTCCAGCACTGCGTAGTTGAGCGCGCGGCCGTCGGTCTGTCCACGCGCACGCACCACCCGCAGCTCGTCGCCAGCAACCGAGCTCACAAAAGCATCAAACGACGGATACGCTGCTGCAACCTCTGGCTCGGCCGAAAGCTTGATAAGCGCAGCCTCACCGTACGCTGCGATCGCCAGCGGCATGTACATACGCCCCAAGTTGACGAGTGCTGCAGCCTCGGATGACGAGCCCGCAGCCCGCGGCTGCGACGCCCGCGCCCGCCAAGGAAGCCACGACGACCACGACGAGCTTGTCGCAGGCGCAGCTTCTGTTTCGACTCTTGGCTTGCGCTCGCTTGCACTCGCGCCCCGCTCGTGCTGATGCAGCAAGGCCAGCGCGGCCACTGCTGATCCGCCCGAGAGGAGACGGCTGCCGAGCGCAGACCGCGCGTCCGACGGCTCGAGCGCAGCGTGGGCGGCGGCGTACCACAGCGCGAGCGTCATGCGCTTGGCCTCGGGCAAGGCCGCCATGTTTCCATCAGCAGCCGTCCATGCGCTCAGCGCAGCAGCGTGTGAGCCGATGGCGGTCTGCAAGATGTCCACGTCGAGCTGCCATGCATGCACGTTCATGGCCGGGCGAAGCCAGCGATCAACCGAGTCCGGGCGCTCCCAGCTCCGCCAGGCTACCACCAGCGGCGCATTGTCAAAGTCGTCTGTCGCAGCTGGTGCCGGAGCCGAGGACGAAGCCGAGGCGACTGAGGCGATGGTTGCAGCGGCCCACGAGCCGGTGCGGAGGGCGAGTTCTAGGGCGAGCAGCGATGACTGTGCCGAAAGTGATGATGCGGTGATCGAGGTGCGTGCAGCCCACGAGCCGAGAGCGATGGCCGAGAGAGCCGAAGAAATGGCTGAGCCACCAGGCAGGAGCGAGGGGACGACGAGGGCGGTCGAAGAGGCGAGGAGCGAGGAGAGGCCGAGGGCCGATGACGCCGCTGTGGATGAGAGTGCGAGGCCCCACCTCGAGACAAACAGTCCTGCCGATGCTGTGTATGCCCCTACCCGTGCAAGCCTGCCGAGGGTCGGCTGTATGCCCTGGTTGCCGTTGCTGGCCATGGCGAAGGGAAGGCGACGGGTGTTCCACGACGGCGGCTTTTGGGAACATTGGCACCAGCCGAATGGCACAATGCAGGCACAACGATTAACTCACGTTTGCACAATGCAGGGATGAGACACAACGATTAACTCACGTTTGTATAATGCAGGGATGAGACACAACGATTAACTCACGTTTGCATAATGCAGGGATGAAACACAACGATTAACTCACGTTTGTATAATGCAGGGATGAGACACAACGATTAACTCACGTTTGCATAATGCAGGGATGAAACACAACGATTAACTCACGTTTGCACAATGAAGAGATGAGACACAACGATTAACTCACGTTTGTATAATGCAGGGATGAAACACAACGATTAACTCACGTTTGCACAATGCAGAGGTGCATATCCCTCTTCCTTCAACATAGCACCCACAGCCCACACACATATCCCCATTCTCCTACTAATCCCCTCCCTTCCGCCCATCTCCCTTCCACAAGCATCCTCCACAACCCACGCCACCCTTGGATAACTCTGGGCTTCCTCGGCCCGCTCCCCGCCCTCACGTCATTCGCGAAACAACTATAGGCGACACGCGCAGCTCTCGTCTCGGCCACTGGCAGCTCATCCACACGCACACACGAATGTCGAGTAGAAGGTCAAGGTCAAGGCAGAAGGGATCCAGTAGGTCGCAATCGAAGGATGCTCGGTCGGCGAGCAAGAAGTCATCGTCGAGGTCGAGGCGGGCAAGCACGCGCGCAGGCGGTGCTCAGGCTCGCGCGCGACTGGCGGATGACGAGTACCCCGCCCCGCCGCAACCGTCGGCCATCTCGAACAAGGACGTCTTTCTCAACGTCTACGATCTCTCACACGAGCCGGCCGTCGCTGCGCTCAACTCGCTGTTCCAGATCGATCTGCGGCCGCCTAGCCGCGGCAGAAGGAGTTCGGGCTCGGGCCGGGGAAGAGAGCGTCAGGCAAGCATGTCGGCGCGCGTGTACTGGTCGGGCAAGGCGAGCAAGTCGCTGGGAGGTGCGTTCCATGCTGGCATCGAGGTCCGCGGCAAAGAGTGGTCGTTCGGCCGCGCTGATCCCGACTCGGACATTCCTCCCAGCGCCACGGGCGTCTTTGCCGTCGAGCCACGCCTCCACCCGATGCATCGCTACCGATGTACGGTCTACCTCGGGCAGACGTCGGCCGGGTGGCTCCGTGTTCGGCGGCTCATCTCCCAGCTTAAGGACGAGTTTTGCTGTGGCGACTATCACCTCCTCCGCAACAACTGCGTGGACTTTTGTGCCGCCGCTGCCGCCGCCCTCGGCGTCGCTCCGCCACCGGAGTGGGTCAATCGCTGGGCCAAGACCGCGCTCCGAGCCATGGATTCTTCGCCTGAGGCCAAAGCTGCCGCGCTCGCTTCACTCGGCATTGGCCTGGGCGCTGTCGCCGTCGCAGCCGCTTCGTGGCTCAATCGTGCCCTGGGCTCGTCCGACACCGCGACATCGTCGTCGACCACCACCGCAACGATGACGACAAGTGCATCGACTGCCTCCGAGTCCTGGTCCTCGTGATGTCCGCCAAAGGCATGCCCGCGCGCTTTACTGTGGTCGGAGCCAAGCGTAAAGTCCCATCACTCGTCTCGCCTCGTCGTCATGTCCGACAACAGCTCGAACTTCACCCTTGCCTCGGAATCAGGTCTCGTCGCCACGCTCTCACCGCTCGGCGCTGCGTTACGCAGCCTCACGCTATCCTCTCCCCCATCGTCACCATCGCGCGCCGAGTCTGCTATCGGAGCCATTCAGTGCGCCAAGTGCGGGAGCAACAGCCGCGCGGCGGCCTGGACGACGCGATCAGTAGTCCTGGGCCTCGCCTCCGACGACGCCGCTCGCAGGCATGCGGGCCCGTACCTCGGCGTGACAGTCGGGCGCGTGGCCAACCGGATCGGCCATGGCGGAGAGTTTGAGCTCGATGGCGAGAGGCATCAGGCACGGGCTAACGAAGGCGGCAACTGCCTGCATGGTGGCGGAGGCGATGGCGCGCTGGATGGGCGGGTGTGGGAGATGGCCGAGCGGGTGAGCGGCAAGACCGATGGCGCCGATGCCTTTGTCGGCTGGCCCATCGCGGGCTGTGGACGGTACGATGCGGTGACGTTTGCCAGCACGATGGCCGACGGCGAGAACGGGTTCCCCGGCCGAGTCAACGTCCGCGCCACGTACGTTGTCGCCCATGGTGCGCATGCGCTCGGTATTGTGCTCGAGGGCGAGGCGGAGGCGGTCACGCTCCTTGCGCTCACGAACCACGCGTACTTTAACCTTTCTGGCGAGCCGCGCGAGGGCGGGCTCGCTGACCATCAGCTGGACCTCCACGAGGCAACGGGCGTGCTCGCCGTCGACGACGCGCTCATTCCGACGGGCGAGGTTGTGCCGTTGGCCGCCGACTCGCCGTTCGCCGCGGCGGTGGCCTCGCTCGGCTCGGAGGCCAAGCTCGAGGGCCTCGACCACAACTACGTCCTCGCTCCGCCCGACACCGCCGGTGCCTGTCGATGCATCGGCGCGCTGGTGCACGTGCCCAGCGGTCTGCGAATGCGGGTGACGACGACCAAGCCGGGCGTCCAGGTCTACACTGGCAACGGGCTCGGACACGCCGGCATCCCGATCGCCGACACGGTCCACGCGCAGTGCGCAAGTGTCAACTATGGCAACGGCTCGGCCATCTGCCTCGAGACGCAGTTCTTTCCTGACGCCATTCACCTCGGCCCGCTCCTCGGATGTGCCACGGGCGGCTCGAGCCTGGCGAGGTGTATCGGCACGAGACCTGGCTGCTGTTTGACTGACGACGAGAGCGTACGGCGCCTGCACTGCCGCGCTTGCCTTTACGTCTGCATCGCTCATGCAATCATGGTAACTGACTTGTCCTGGGCAGCAAAGATGGCGTCGAGGCGCTCGACCTCGATCTCTGCACGGGTCTTGGGCTTGGCCTTGGGCTTGGCGTCGAGGTCAGCGTCGAGCGGGGCGTCGAGGAGGAGCGACTGCGGCTTCGGCTCTTCGATCTTTGCGATCTGGCGTAGGTTCGGCGAGAGGCGGAAGGAGCGGACGACGCCGCGGTCATCGCCGACGATGAGGGTGTAGTTGTCCGGGTCCGGGTTAAAGGCGAGGTGGGTGAGCCGGGCCTTGCGGACGACCTTCTGGTCACAGAGCGGCTCATGGCGGTTGACGGAGAGGTCAAAGACGTAAATCTTGCCGTCTGCGGTGCAAGCGGCAAAGACGGTCGACGAGTATGGGGCCCACGCGACGTCGCCGACCGAGTTGTTGAGGTCAAACGACATGAGCGGCGTCTTGAGCGCGTGGTCCCAGATCTTGACGGTCCAATCCGACGAGGCCGAGATGAAGATGGAAGGGTGGAACGGGTTCCATTGGACGGCATGGATCATGCCGACGTGGCCGACGTACGTCTCGAGGTACTGTGAGTTGTACGCCTTGGAGCACTTGTGGATGTACCCGTCCTCGACGCCGACAATGAACAGGTGCTCGAAAGTGTGGTTAAAGTCGAAGCAAAGCCCGCCGGCGAGCCCAAACAGCGCGGCCTCCTCGTCAGCGGCGGCGGCCTTGACGTTGTCGACCAGTTGGAGCTCGATGATGTCAGTGTGGACGAGGTCCGACTTGACCATCGTCCACGAGGTGACGCGGCCGTCGGAGGAGACCGAGAAAAAGTTGTGCTTCTTAGAGAGGTCGTCTTCTTGCCACTGGACTTGCCACACCGGGTCGGTGTGCTTCCCGTTGCGGATGGTTGAGCGGAAGATCGGATCCTTGGAGCGGACCTTGATGTCGTAGACAAGAACTGAGCCGTCGTAGAGGCCGACGGCGAGGAGTGACGAGTGCGGCGGCTGGTGAAAGTCGAGTGACATGACGCCCGACTCGGTCTCGAACGCGTACTCGGGGTGCGACGGGTTCTTGAGCGTGTAGCAGTAGACCCGCCCACGCCGCCGCTTGCCAAAGTCGTACGAGCCAAAGCCAACGGCAAACAGGTCCGGATACTCGGGGTTCCACGCCAGCGCCGTCACGTGCCGCTTCTTGACCTTGGCAGACTCAAACTCCCACAGCGGCATGAGCGTTCCCGTCAGCGCGTTTGACGCGAGCTTGTCAAGCGGAAACTCGAGGTACTTGTAGTCGTGCGCAATGGCCTGGTACGTGTTGAGGTTCACCATCCGCTCCATCACCTTGAGCAGCGAGACCATCGACTCCGAGTGCCCGTACAGGTCCGACGACGACGACGCGCCGGCCTTTTGCGGTCACCGCGCCCAGCGCCGGCCGCAAACGACGAGAACGACGCCATGGCCTGCGACGAGAGCTGGACCCGCGACTTTTGCTTCTCCTTCTCGCGCCGCATCCGCTCGAGGTCGTCCACAAACGTGTCGTAGATGCTCCACTGCGTGACCAGCGCCTTGTAGTTTTGCCGCGGCGGCGGTTCGGTGTTGGTCCCGCGCTCACGCGTCGACGCGTTGATCGTCTGCGTCGCCCGCTCCGAAAAGTTGAACTCGTTGCGAAGCCGCGAGTCGCCCTCAGCCGCCTCCTCTGCCGCCTGCGCCGACAGCCGCTGCCGCTTGGCGTCGTCCGAGCTCTTGTGGAAGATCTTGGCCTCGAGCTCAAAGTGGTTCTGCACATGGTCCACTGTCGGGATCTCTGCAAAGGCGCCCTTGCGGAGGTCAAAGACCACCACACTCTGCGGTGCCGACGGGTTCTCGGCCCGCAGCACCTTCTCATGGATCGCATCCAGCTGGTCTTCTGTCAGCGCAGCCCGTTCGGCAGCTCCTCCTTGACCTGCCCCACCTCCGGCTCCGCCCATATGGTACTCATCATCAAACAGCGACGAGTTGGAGGCGTTTCCTGGCGAGTCTGCCCGCGCAGCCGCCAAGTTGAGGTTGTCCGCCGAAGTCCTCAGCTATATCCCGGCCGCCGCGACGCCACCAGCCCAGCCCAGTCAACACCACCACGGTCATTGTACGCCACGGCCCAGGTGCCACCAACCAGCCAAAGCCAGTCATCGTTAGGTGCCACCAGCCACAGCAAGCCACAGCAAGCCACAGCCAGCCACAGCCAGCCACAGCCACACCAGCCAGCCACACCAGCCAGCCACAGCCACACACACACACATACAAACATACACACACACACGCCACGTGAGTACACCGTATCTCTCCACATTGCCCCCCCCCCTGCCCCCGGTAGCCCCTACCCACCTGGCCAGCCCTCCTTCCCTACCCACTCTGCTGGGCGTCGTCCCTCTACAAAAAACGGCGCCACTCGACCGACGGCCAGCGTGACCCGCAGTCATGGCTGGGCGCAGTGTCGGTGGAGGGGGGGAGGGGAGGGGAGGGGAGGGGAGAGGGGAGAGAGGGGGGGGGGTAGGGTATGGGTATGGGTGGGGAGGAGGGGGGAGGGGGGAGGAGGGGCGGAGGGAAGGAGGGAGGAAGGGGAGAGCATGGCTGTGTCCGTACCGACGCATTGGACCGTTGGGGTCGAACAGTCCGCGACATGGCCAACGAGAGACAACCGGTGCCAGCAGTGATTAGCTGAGTGTGGCCAACGAGTAATCGATAGGCACCATGATCATACCCAACCGACCATAGCAATCACACACACACACCACACACACCATAGCGATCACACTCCCCACATACCATAGCGATCACACACATAGCCCACACACCGTAACGATCACACCCGCAGGCCCACACAACAGTAACCACCCAGTCGGGAGTCGTGCCCCACCTTGCTCCGGCTGTCGCTCACCTCAGCCTCAGCCCCAACCCCACCTCGCTCCCCACACCCCAAACACACAACACCATGGCTAGCTCCCCTCCCCAATGGGTGGAACGGATGGAAGAGGGTTTTGTGGCGGCTCCCGGTGGCGGGTCATGGGCGCTGGGCTCGGTCCTGGCCACCCACGCCGGTCTCTCGCTGCTGCGGTCGGCCTCGGTCCCGGTGGCTCTGACCTCGGGCGTTCTTGCGGGCGCGTGTGGGATGGCCGGCCTCATGATCAGAGACACGTATGTGGCCGAAGACGATGCTGCCCTTGCATCTGCCATGTCCTTCTCCATCGCCGTCTCATCGGTCGTCACGGGCGTCTCGGGCGTCCGTGCCTACATGGTCCGTCCGCGCCTCGCCGGCCCGCTCGCTCTCGCTGCCGCCGCCCTCGCCACCTCGTTCTACCATATGGCTATGGTCGATCGCCTTGGCCTCCGCGTAGAGGCGGATGCCCCCACTGTCGACGCCGAAGACGACGACGACGACGACTCATGACAAACGCTGCTGCTCTCGGCTGCCACTGGTCGGTCAGAAGAGTTTACGGCCTTCAGTGGCCATCATCTCACATGGTCACGACGACGTGCTCGAGCTGCTCGACTCGCTGCTGGAGCTCGAACTCGAGCTCGAGCTGCTCGACTCGCTCGAACTACTGCTGGTGCTTGCTCCTTTGCTCTCGCTCGACGTCGAGTCGGACGACGAGGCCGGTGAGGCAAAGGCGAGCGACGACGGGCCGGCCGCCAGCGAGTACGGCGCAAGGCCGCCCGAGCCGCGCGGATCGCCCGCAGACCGCGACGGTGCCGACGACAGCACCTCGCCCGACGACGAAAACTGTGGCGGCGGCGACATCAGCCGCAGCTTCTTCAGAAACTTGACAATCTGCCGGAACGTAGGCCGCTCTGACGCCTCAGTCTTGATGCACCGCTTGGCGAGCTTCTTGAGCGCCTCAGGCGTCGCCTCATTGTACGCCTTGAGGTCCACAAGCAGCTTGCCAAATGAGTACACGTCCACAGGATACGAGTACCGCGGCCGCCCCGCTACGTCAACGTCACGCACCTCGGGTGCCATGTACCCGCGCGTCCCGGCCCCGCCCGCAGGCGTCGTCAGGCCCACACGCCCGGCGAGCCCAAAGTCAGACAGCACCGCCCGCCCGCTCGTCGTGATCAGCACGTTGTCCGGCTTGAGATCCATGTGCAGGAACTTGCGCTCGTGCAGGTACTTGAGCGCCTTGGCCACGTCCAGTGCCACACGCACAGGATCCACCTTGTCGAGCACCTTGACCAGCGACCACGGAATGTACTGCATCACCGCTCCACGCCGCCCCTTGTGGTCCGTCGTCACTCCGTAGATCCGCATCACGTTAGGGTGCTGCAGCCGTGACAGCAGCCGGATCTCCTTGAGCAAGTCACGCTGATCAAGCATGTTCTTCTTGGCAAACTTGATCGCCACAAACTGCCGCTTCTTCTGGCCTGGCGCTCGCGACGACCGCCACTCGGCCCGGTACACAAGCGCAAACTGGCCAGAGCCCACAGCCTGCAGCTTGCGCAGCTTCTCAAACGGAATCTTCAGAATCTTCGCCCGCCCGCCAAGCATCTCCCGAGCTGCAGCCTTGGACGTCGAGCTCGCCCGACTCCGCCGGCCCCGTCCCGACTTGCCTCCCGCCTTCACCGCCTTCACCGCCTTCACCGTCGACCCATCCGCCCCAGCATCGCTGCCTCGCGCGCCCATTACTACACCACCGCCCATAACCACCATCACCCGCGCACATCAGTTACCCGCGCACCCCCCCTACCCCCCCCTCCCTCCTCCCTCCCTACCCCCCGTCCCTTTCCCCTTGCCACCATGCCCACTCCCCCGCCCATTCCCTCCCATCGCCTTCCTCCATGCCACACCCTCGCCTCCCTAACACGGCACCCTCATCCACATACTCCCCCGCACGCGCGTCAAGAATGGCCACCGGTTGCCAAAAGCCGCTCCCGATCAAGATCGATCACTCGCAAGTTCACGACCTTTTTCCTGATGCACTCGCTCGCTCATCACACGCCTGCTTCGCCTCCACATCCCCCGATACCGCTACCGCAGACTCCAAAATCCCATCACATGCTATGTACCACCATACATACATTCTTTGTCATCTTCATTCTCAACCCTTTCCTCTACCTCTCCTACGGCCTTGAAGCGGGTTCCACACCCCCCCTTGGCCGCCCCATTCGCGCGCCAAACCGCGCGCGATCGCGATCAACCACCACCACCACACTCCACGCCCTCCCCACCGCCCCCCCCCCCTCTCGCCCCGCACACACACACGTACCACCAACCCACCATGGCAACACACCGTGTGGGAGTGTGTCTTCATGGGGCACTTGCGCTTGCAGTTGTTGTTGCTCTTGTTGCCCTTGCGCAGAGTGCCGACGGTGCGGCGGTAGTCGCCCCGGGCGGGACCGACTTTGGCGCCTGCCCCTGCGACGTGACCGGCGGCATGTGCGACGTCGGCTGCTGCTGCGACCCGTCATGCACCACGCCCATTCTCGAATACTTCAATGCCTCTGGCATTGCGTGTGCCTCCACGCCAGGCCTCGACCCGGCTGCCTCGCGCCTCTGCGTCAACCGCGACAAGGTCCGCGCCACCAACGGGCTCGACGCCTCGTGGTTCGGCGACCTCCTCTGCGTCACCACCGACAACTATCCCTCGGACGGCTTTTTCTTCCCGCCGCCGCCCTCGCCGCTCAATACTGGTGCTGCCTCGGCCCTCCTCGCTGCAAGCTCCGCCCCTCTGTTCCAGGACCCGGCCTCGCCAGGCGTCGCCGCCGCCACTCGCTACCCGCCAGGCGCCCCACTCCTCGCCGCGCCCACCGCGGCCGCAGGCGCAACCACTCGTGTCCTCGGCCCTGTCGCAGCAGGCCCCGCCGCTGCGTGTGACGATTCAGCCGCGCCCGCCTTTCTCTCCGCGTCCGCCTCCTCCTGCGTCCGGACTCTCGACCCGGCCGCCACGTCCGCCACAACCTACTCCGGCTGCGCCGCCGCGTCGGCTGCACGCTGGCTTGACTACGGCATCCTCCCATCGCCGTCGTCGTCGGCTGCGCCGGCCGCAATCATCCCGATCACCGCTGGCACCGTCACGTGTTACGACTCGACCGACCGCGCCTCCCGCGCCATCGTCGCCTGCCCCTCCGACGCCGCTATCGCATACGCCGACGCCGGCGGCTGCCGCAACCTCGTCGTCTCTGTCGGTCTCACCGTCGCCTACACCGGCGACATGCTTGTCTCGGCCGCCTCGCTCAACTTTGACGTCGTCGTCTCGGCTGCAGGCGCCTCGGCAAACGCCTCCTTCTCGTACCTCGCCGACTTTGCCGTCGCTTTTGTCCCGTCCGACGGCACCGTCCCGGTGGCCAAGTCCGGCAACCCTGGCTATGCTGCAGGTCTGCCTGTCCGCGGCGGCTTCAAGGCAGCGGCCGCGGCGACCGCCATCACCGCCGTCGACCTCACCCTCGCCGCCGGTGACGCCTTTGGCGCCTGCATCGCGCCCAGCCTCGGCGTCCCGGGCTCGCGTGCAGATCTCGCCTACGCCACCGACGCCCTCTTCGGCTGCAGAATCGAGCTCGACCGCGCAGAGCTCGCAAACTGCGCCGCGCTGCAGAACAAGCTCGTGAGTCTCCTCTTGCCCAACGCTACCGTCAACGTCGTCGCCGCCTGGGGCTCGTCCGAGACCGACACGCCGGCCGACTGGACCGACATCGCCCTCCCTGACGCAGTGCCCACGCCCGCCCAAGGCACTGGTACGTGTGCCAACATGGTCGTCGGCGTCCACTACGGTTTTGTCACCGTTGCTGGTGGCGCCGCAAACAACCCGCAGCACAAGATCATCGGCGCGCAGATGGAGTACATTGTCGGGTCGGTCACCGACGTCGCCCCGGGCTCGCCGCTCGCCCTCGTCCTCACCTCGTCCTCCAACTTTATCGACGCCGACTCGCCCGCCCCGACGAGGTCTTTCCCCGCAACCCGAACCTCATTCCCGAGCTCCCCTCAGACGTGTGGTATCCGTTTGAGCTCGGCTCGGCCGCACCAGGCACCTCCCCGCTCCCCGCAAGCCTCCTCGCCGCCGTCGCCGGCGTTGTCGCCATTGCTGCCGCCATTTACGCGTAAAGACAAAAGACACACACGCACTCACTCTCTCGCTCGCTCGCTCACGCCAGCAGCGCCTCCATCGCAGCCCGGAACTCCTCCTGGCCCTCGGACAGCGCAATCTCGTCGAGGACTTGGTACGGGAGCCACGCGCCAAAGCTCTCCACCCCGGCTTTGGCTGCCGCACTTCCGGCGTCGCCGCCCAGAAACTCGAGCGCGAGCGCGGCAGCCTCGCCTGCGCATCCAAATGAGAGGTAGAGCCGTGCAAGCGCCGCCACGTTGGCCACGTTGACCGACCCCGCCCCGTCAGGCGCAACCAACGAGACCACCAGCGACCGCGGAAGCGCCGTCCGTCGATCAAACGTAAGCACGCAGTGCGCCACCACAAGATGGTATCGGAACCCAGTCTGCGGAGAGTCGTACCGCGCGAGGCCGTCCAGAATCACCCGCCAGAGCGCCGCACGCAGCGACGGCGCGCCCCACCACTCTTCGCCGAGCGGGAGCTCCCAGCCCGGAACAACCGCGTCTGCCGTCGCCGACGGCGCAGCCGCCATCGCCTTGTCCACAAGTACGCCAAAGACCGGCTCCACCGAGGCGTCGCAGAGCTTGGCGAGCAAAAACGCCTCATCGATGTAGCCGCTCGTCGCCAGCGCCAACACTGCGCCGTCGGCATCCTCCGGCCGCGCATCGGTCCCGAGCAGCGCCCACGCCCGCACAATAGCCGTCTCCATGGTCACGCCGGCCAAGCTCACAATCGCCAGCTCGTCGCTCACCTGGGTCACACTCTCGTGCCGCCGCTTGCCGGTGCCACCGTCGGCGGCGTGCCGCCACTGCCGCGGATGAAGAATCCAAGCCGAGCTGGCGCCGACGAGGTTGAGCGCCGTCGCCGCCGCCAGGTACCCGCGCAGCGCGTCGTCGGCTGTCGCCGCCATGCACCCACGCTCGTACATGGCGCCGGCCGCAGCCCGAAAGTTGGACCGGAAGCAGTGCCACGCGTAGAGGACCTCGTAGTAGTTGGCGTGGCCCGACCGGCCCTTGCGGAGGAGCGTCGCCTCGACCTCCTCGCACAGACCCACAAACGGGTACTCGCACAGCCGAACGCCCTCGCCCAGTTCGCAGAGAACCACCACAAACCGCCGCAGACAGTCCTGCCGCCGCTCGGGGTCTGGGTTCGACGCAATCGCTAGGTAAGCGCTGTCGTAGTCGTGGAGCGCACATGCGTGCTTGAACACGTTCGACCAGAGCACAGCCCGCATCTCGCTCGACTCGCCGGCACACCCGAGCGCCACCTGAGCAAACTCGAGCGCGAGGTCCGGCTGGTAGCTCTCGTCAAACTTTTGCATGACCTCGGCAAAGTAGTTCACGTCGCCGTCCACCCGCCGGAACGCATTGCGTGCCTTGCCAAACTCGCCAGTGTGGAGGTATGCCTCACCAACCAGCTGTGCCCGCGCCGAGCCGGTCTCGCCGGCCTCGCCCGGCCCTCGCAGCAGCGCCTCCGATTCGAGCAGCCGCTGGACCACATGCGCGTTGGTCGCCTCGCCGCTCGCAAGCAGCTCACGGACAAGCCACGACCCAGCCTCGCCCGCCAGCACCGCCAGCACCGACGCCTGCGAGAGGCCCGAGACAAGCGGCGCGCCGCACCCGCCACGCCCGTGCTTGCTCGCCCGCACCACCACCGCCGCCACCACGCTCCGCATCAGCACAACCTCGGTCGCCGGCACAACCTCCGAGAGCATGACCTCGTGGCCGTCCGATGAGCAGCGTGAGTCGTCGCGAAGCTGGGCCACCAGGTAGAGCGTGAGCAGCAGCGCCCGCGCCTGGCGAACGCTTCGGCTTGCCACAAACGCCGCACTCTGCAGCGCGCACGCCGAAAACGCCTGTTCGGCCCCGAGCGCAAGCACAACCTCGAGCTCGCGCGTCAGCGCCTGCGCACTTGCCACCAACCGCGCCACCGCGCCCTGCACCGCCGCCACAGGGTCGTGAAGCGAGCGCCACAACCGGAGGAACGTGAGCACAAACCGCCCAGAAGCCTCCGACTCGGTCAGCTGGCCGACGTCTGGAATGGCGGCAGTGAGCGGGTTGCGCGACTGGAGAAGCGCCCGGAAGAACCGGACCCGCGCAGGCCCGCCGAGCTGCACGTCAATGAGGTCGACGAGCTGGTGAACAAGTCGCGCGTCGGCCTCGGCAGGCTCCAGGACGCCGACGTTGGTCTCGGGCACTTCGGTGAGCGCAAAGAGGCCGTCGGTGGCCGGGCCGACCTCGCACGCCACCGCCAGTGCGCCGGAACACAGCACCACAAGCCCGACCGCTCCGGCTGGCTCGACGCCGATCGCCGGGAGAAGCCCAAGCGCCAGGGGCGCTGTCTCGGCCCGCGCCAGACGGATGCAGTGCTCAAGAATGGCTTCCCAGCCAGCAACAAGAGCCTCGGCATACGCCGCCGGGCTGTCGCCGGCCGACGCCGCAACAGCAGCAGCATGTGCCGTCACCGCGTTGCTCGCCACCTGGCGGAGGACTGCCGGCGCTGGCGCAGCAGCCCCCTCGAGCAGGCTCATCCGCGAGCCGTGGTACGCCTGGACCGCCAGCGCCAGCGTCGTCGCCGAAAACCGGCCAGGGTAAAACACCTCGCCGGCGTAGACCTTGTGCAGCTCGTTGGCGTTGAGCTCGGTGTCGAGCCCGGGCAGCTCAAGGTGGTCGAGCGAGCCGAGATGCGTTGCCAGAGTCGACGGCTGGACCGAGGCCGAGCCGTCGAGCGTGTAGCTCCAGATCTGGAAGCCGTCAGCCGACATCGACGCCGGCATGGCGTAGAGAACGTGGAGCGCACCGGCCGGCGCGTCGTAGAGCACATCGACCGGGCGCGCGCCTGCCACGGCAGGGTCGCGGGTGAACTGGCACTCGACAGCACGAAGCTGAAGGGCGTCTGTCGCCTCGGCGGTGTCGTCGGCCGCACGCAGCGTCGAGATGTCGAGCGCAAAGACAAAGAGCTCCGGCCGATCGTCGGCGAGCGCCGAGGCAACCAGCTCCGGCGAGGCGTTGGCCAGGAGTGGAACAAAGACGACAATGGCAAAGGTCGTCTCATCGTCGATGTCGGGCACCACAGAGCACACAATGTCGTCGAGAATGCCCGCGTCGCCGAGCTCGACCGGGTCGTCGGTCAGGTGCGCCAGCGAGAAGCGGCCGACAACCGCCCGCTGCTCAAGCGACCAGAGCGAGAACACAAGGTCGGCAGAGAGAGCAAGCACGTACGGCACGCCGGGAAGTTTGTGGAGCGAGAGGAGCGGCGGCGCCTGGTTGCGGGAACGAAATGGAGTCGAGAGCAGTCCAAACATCTTGCCTAGGAGCGAGGCTGACTGAAGCTTGACAGCAGCGCCCTCGACGGCGGCGCCGCGGCCGGGCAGCGCGGCCAGCCACAGCGAGCCATCCGAGAGGCCGCAGACAGCCAGCGAGGCCGGCGCACCAGGCGTGGCGCTCTGGACCACACGGACAATGTCCTGCTCGCCAACAAGCTCTGCAGCGTCAGGCGGGAGCACGTCCATGGCGGTGAGGGCGAGGCCCTCCACCGGCTCGCCAGACTCGTCACGGACTGCGGCGCCAGCATCGCCCAGCACATCCAGCACGTCGACCGGCTTGACCAAGTCCGAGCCAAGGAGGCCAGCAGAGGCCAAGTCTGAGAAGAACGAGAACATGTGGTCGCCAGCCTTCAGCGGATCCATGTCCGACGAGGCAGCGGGTGGGAGTGCGGGCGGGAGCGAGCGGAGGAGCGGGAGCGGGACGACAAGACGGAGAATACAGCCATTAGCCAGCGGAGCGAGGAGAATGAGCGAGCATGGCGAGTCGAGAGGAAGTGGCGCATGTGACTGAGAGTCATTGATCCAAGGAGTTGAGGAGGAAGAGGGAGAGAGAGTCCATGCATGACCCGAGTCTGCCACCAGTTGGATGGAGGCCCTTGCCACGAGGGGGCAAGGGAGGGCAAGACGAAGGGCGTTATTAGCCAGGGGGAATGCAGTATGTGTATGAACCAACTCTATGGCATCTGCACAAGTAGAGAGACAGAGAAAGTGACCATGTGCAAGTCCAAGTACTTGTCCCTGTTCCTCCCACCTGCTTCCCCTGTAGCCGGTCCTTGGCGACCCGCTGGCTGTGCCACCACTCGCACCACTCGCACCACTCGCACCACTCGCACCACCACTGCTGCTGCTGCTGCCTTGTCTTGGGCTGCCACCTCCTACGCCTGCCATGCTCACTCCCACATGGCTCTCAGTCCACTGCGACCCCTGGAGTGGGGATGTGCTCACCACAATGTGCATGAGGTGTGTGACTGCGGAGGGGGAAAGGGCCTGGGGGGGAATGGAATGAGGGTGAAGTGGCTGGCCCAGCCCGCGCCTTGTCGTCGTGATCAACGCGGCTGCCGTCGCCACAAACTCATCAATCGGGGGGGGGGGACGGGGGGGGGGGCGCCAACTTGCGCGCAGTGCTTCCCACCGCAGAACCGACCGGCAAACTGGCCGAGCACTGATGATGTGCACGGCAGGTCAATCGGCCGGAATCTGGTGGTGGCCGCGGGATAAATAGGGCACTATGGTGTTCACGTTGAGGCAGGAAGCCGGTGGTGACGCGGGCGAACGATGGTACGGCTTACACAAGTATTACGAAGAGGAGAAGACATCTGTAGACGAGTACTCATCGTCTGGATGCGGGCGAAAGTTGGGATGGACGGTGGTTCGCGGGCGAGGTGCGGCGAGTGTACCTTCGTCCGAGATGGAGAACGTGGGCTCGTCATCGTCGTCGTCGTCGCCAGAGTAGTACGAGTAGGTCGAGTTGGCGACGGCCCGCGGATGTGGCGGGCCCGAGCCTGCAGGTGCGTCGGGCCCCGGAGTTGCTGAAGTGACGGTGACTCCCGGGAGCGGGGCGGTGACGACGGACGGCGAGGCGTCGTACGAGTAGCCGGCGCCGTAGACGTCCGAGTCGGAGAACTCGATGGTCGAGTGTGAGGCGACAACGTCGCCGACGTCGGACGAAAACAGCGGTGTGTCTTCGTCGTCATCATCATCGTCGGGAGCTGTTGGCGTCGGCGCCGGCCGCGAGATGTCGGGGTTAAAGACAGAGGTCTCGGGCACAACAGCAGCCTGGTCGCGGATCGAGTTGGTGTCAATAGTCGACGTCGACGGCTTAAGCGGCTTGTGGCGCCGCTTCCGACGCCGCCGCCCGTTCCTGCTTTCGGCGTCACCGCTCGCCGCGGCGGCAAAAGCATTGAGTGAGAGGTGACCGGAGGAGCTCGAAGGCGACGGTGCAATGGCCGCCGCGGCCTTGGCAGCCGCCGACGGCGACGGCGGCGGTGGCAGCGGAGCGACGGCGGTGCGGTCGGGCAGGCGCGGATCGTCAACGTCGTACTCGTCAGACTCGGATGCCGATGCCGAGGTGGGCGGAGCCGGCGCCGGCGCCGATGCTGGCTTGCTCTGTGACGACGACTCCTTCTTGGCGCGGTAGGACGATCGGTGCCGGCGCCGGCGCCGGTGGGAGCGGCCCGACGACGACGACGGCGTCGGCGACTCATGGCCCGTCACATTGGGCGTCGACTTTGAGTGGCTGCCCGAGAGCTTGCTCGCGGCTGGCGACGGCGACTGAGCAGCCGAGACGGTGCGCGGCGGCGAGGTCGAGCCAGACGACGACGGCGACTTTTGCTTGCGGCGCCTGCGGCGCTTGCGGCGGCCAGAGGAGGTGGTCGAGGCGGGTGCGGCAGGAGTCGGAGCCGGCGATGACGACGACGACGGCGGCGTGGGCGGAGTCGACGAAGACGACGACGAGCGCGACGAGTGGTGACGCCGTCTTCTGCGCGAGCGCGAGGAGCGGCCGGAACGGCGCGAGCGGGACTTGCCCGAGCGCGACGACGAGTTCGGCAGAGACACCGAGACTGCAGGCGGGAGGACGTCGGCGTCATACTTGGGCTGCGGCGCGGCAAGGAGAAGGGCTTCGATCTCGGGATCGAGGGTCGGCTTGAACGGCGGGTCATATCCGCGGTTGGCGACGCGGTCCCAGTCGATTCCGGCAAACCACGGGTGGTCGCGGATGACAGGGCCGGAGATGCGCTTGGCCGGGTTCTTGTGAAGCAAGCCGCGGATGAGCGACTTGACCTCGTTGGAGACGGGGACCGAGGCCGGGAACGAAATCGACTTGGTGAGGACCTTGGCGTTGAGCTCGGCGCGCGATTTGGCCGAGAACGGGTACTTGCCAAAGAGCATAACAAAGACGAAAATACCGTACGACCACCAGTCGGCCTCGACACCGTACTCGATCGAGGTGTCGACAACCTCGGGCGCCATGTACTCGGCCGTCCCGCATACCGTCGACGTCCGATGGAGATTGGAGAGCTCCTTGGCGAGGCCAAAGTCGGCAAGGCGGATGTGTCCGTCGCGGTCGAGGATGACGTTCTCCATCTTGAGGTCGCGGTACACAATGTTCATCGAGTGCATAAACTCGAGGCCGACGTAGACCTCAGCGGCGTAGAGCCGGGCGCGCGACTCGTCAAAGCGGCGAGCGACCTTCAGATGGTCGAACAAGTCACCTCCGCCGACGTAGTCGAGGACGATGCACAGATGCTTGTTGGTCTGAAAGGCGAAGCGGAGGTTGACAATGAGCGGATGCTTGCCTGCGATGTTCTGCAGCGCTTGCTCGGCCTTTGACTGGGCCACAGCGTCGGTGTCCAGAATAGACTGCTTGTCGAGGAGCTTCATGGCGTAAATCTTGCCATTACTCTTTTTCCGTACCAAGTTGACTTGCCCGAACGATCCATGACCAATCTCCCTCAGAACCTCAAACGAGTCCATCGAGATGGTATTGGTCTCGGGCCGAAACTCGGGCGAGAAGACGGCGACCAAGTTGTCCTCGGCCGTCGCCGACGCTCTCTCCCGAGGGTCTGGTTCACGCAGCTGCTTGGATCCGTTCTTGCCCACTACGCGTAAAAGACCATGGTATGTAGGGTGAGTGGTGTTTGGGGAGGGAGGGGGGGAGGGGGGAGGGGGGAGGGGGGAGGGTGGCGGTGGTGCGTACTCTTTGCAGGGGTGGGG